TTTGAGGAAGAGCTATAGTATTTTCCATAGTGGCTGCACCAATTGGCATCCCATCAACAGTGTGTGAGGGTTCTCTTTTCTTCACAACCTCACCAGCACTTGTTAGTGCAGAATTGTTAAGCTGCTTTTATTTTTCATATTATTTGGATGACGATGTTATCTTCAAACTTATATATGGAGTTTTTGTTATTATCGATGGTACCTTCCAGAATTCGTAGCTATTTAGAAGTAATTGAGATGGTAAAACACTATAATATATAGGAATAAGGACAAGGAGAAGAAATCAAAGATATAGGACTTATTTCTTTGGTATTACATTTTACCTTCAATAGGAGAAAAGTTCATTAAATATATTATTTTCCAGTTTATAAAATGTGGAAAATACTAAATTTTTTGCTTCCTGGTTTCAAAATCATTTGCATTTCTTGGAATATATATATGTACTGGTTGAAAATGTGTACTTTTGAGATTTCCGTGTTTATGGCATTGATGTATGGCTAAGAGGCTCACAGTCTTCTGAAAGTATAATCTAAATTGGAAAACAGTGAAAGTGGCATTAGGTACTCACAAATCAGGCATAATCTGATTCATAGTATAATTGCATCTTTAATTATGTGTTTTGAAATTTTTATTAGAGAAGGGAAAATACTCAGAATCCAGTTTTAGGGAGAATAACATCCAAGGAGTTGGGGACAGAAGTCAGAGACTCCCTTCAGTTAAGCTGCTCTTCAAAATCTCAGTGGTTTCCTACATACTTCTAGCATCTTTCCCACTATGCCCCCCTGGCCCGCACCCCGCCAGGTTTCTGTGCATCCTCTCCCGCACAGAGGAAGCTAGAAGGTGCTTTTTAGAGGAGTTTGTGACTTTGCGATGAAAAATCTAAAAATGAAATGAAATGAAAAATTCTTCATGAGAATGGTACTTCTGCTTCTTCTTACACTTGAATTTTGGCATAATTTTCTGTGAAACATCAGAAGCTGTTCAAGCCACAACTCCAAAAATATGTGTACCTCTTTATAAGTTTGAGATTTGGCATATAATATGTATAAACAAAACTAGATATTTTTTGTGGGGCTAAATACTTAATAATTTCTCTACAACCAGAATAACAAATCTTGACCAGAGGAACTACTTGTGAAGACTATTAAACAAGCATTTATAATGTAAATGCCTCAACTATATATTGGTATAATAGGTTATTAAAAATCAAATTTAAAAAAATGCTATTGGCCATGAGACAGGTTTATAGTTTATGGGGTGCCTGGGTGGCTCAGTCTTTTGGAGTGTCTGACTCTTGATTTTGGCTCAGGTTGTGATCCCAGGGTTGTGGGATCAAGCGCTGTGCTGGGATCTGTGCTGAGTGTATGTCTCTCTCCTTCTGCCCCNGTTTTATTTATTTCTGAGAGAGAGAGAGAGACAGCGTGAGCAGGGGAGGGTCAGAGAGAGAGGGAGTCACAGACTGAAACAGGCTCCAGGCTCTGAGCTGGCAGTCAGCACAGAGCCCGACGCGGAGCTCGAACCCACGAACCGCGAGATCATGACCTAAGCGAAAGTCGGACGCTTAACCGACTAAGTCACCCAGGCGCCCCTGCCCCTCTCCCCTGTTTATGCTCTCTCTCTCATATTTATATATATATGACTTTTGGGGACTTGGGTAGGTTTTTAATTTTTTTTTTGAGTTTGAGATAATTGTGCATTTAGATGTAGTTAATAAAAAATAATGCAGAGAGATGCCATATTCCCAGTTTCCCCCAATGATAATATTTTGCATCACTATAGCATAATATCACAATCAGGAAATCTACATTTTATTCCGATATCACCAGTCTTACATGTACTCACTTATGTGTGTGTGCTTAATTCCATGCAGTTCTGTCACATGTAGATGGATTCATATGACCACCTCACATCAACACAGGACAGGTTTATCACAAAGATTCCTCCTCCTACCCCTTCAAAGCTACAGCCACCTCCCTGCTTGCCCCCATCTCCTTGATCCCAGCAAATCTTTCTGTTTTCCATATCCATCATTTTGTCAGTTCAAGAATGTTATCTACGTGGAATAATATACTATTTAACCTTCTGAGATTGGCTTTTTTCACTCAGCAGTATTCCCTTGAGACCACCTAAATTGTATCAATAGGTTGTCCCTTTGTATCTGTAGGAGCCCAACAGTGACCACAAGAAAGAGTGGCTGGGCGGAGCATGCCTGCAAACAGGATCTACCAGGGGGCCTGCACACAATATCCAAGGTTAACGGTCCGCTCGCAAACGAGGGAACGTGCCCTCCTTGAAAATAGGGAGGAGGCTGGAGTTCTGGGCAGGCTTCTTAGTATATATGCTGTGGTCACTGTCTCCCTTTGTTCTTCCCATCCTTGGAATGTGCTTGGTTAGAAGAATGCGTTTCTTAGATTTTGGTATGTGTCCAGCTACCGGGGTATAAAAATAAACCGCACGAAGGCTCGGGGAGATTTTTCTCCCTCCGGCCGGAGTTGTGTCTTTGTCTGTCTTTGTGTGTCTTGTCTTTGTGTCATTTCGTTCGCTACAGTATCGCTTAGGAGTATTCCATATGTGGATTTCTATAGTTCGTTCACCCATTAAAGGATATGTGAGTTGTTGCCTGTTTGGGGCTATTTATAACCAAACTGCTGTGAATATTTGTGTACTGTGTTTTTAGTGAACATTTTCATTTCTCTGGGATACAGAGTACATTTGCTGGGTTGCATAGTAAGCACGTTCCATTTTGTAAGACACTGTAGTACTCTTTTCCGGAGTGGCTGGACCATTTTACATTTCCGCCCACAGTGTACGAGTGGTCCAGTTTCTCCACATCCTAACACTTGATATAATCACTAACTTAAAAAAATTTTTTTGGCCATTCTGACAAGCGTGTACTGATCACTCAGTGTGGTTATTATTTGCACTTACCTAATGGCTAGTGATGTTGAATATCTTTTTTGTGAACTTATTTGCCATGTACATATACTTTTCGTTGAAATGTCTTCTGTCCATTTTGTAATTGGATTTTTTAATACTGTTGAGTTTGGAAAGTGCTTCACATATTCTAGATATGAGTCCTTGACCGAAATGTGTCGCAAGGCTGCTGCTTCTCTTTTCATGTTCTTCACAGGAACACACACTGTTAATTTTGATTGAAGTGTTGGTTACTGTAACAAATTACCACAAATCTGGTGGCTTAGAAAAATTGTATACTCTCATGGGCCAGAGACCAGAGCCCAAAATCAAAGTGTCAGCAGGGCCACACTCCCTCCGAAGGCTCTAGGGGGAGAATTGTCCTTGCTTCTTCCAGCTTTTGGTGGCCCTAGGTGTTCATTATGATTAGATTTAGGGCCCACCCAAATAATCCAGGATGATCTCATTTTGAGGTCTTTAATTACATCTGCAAAGATCCTTTTTCCAAATAAGGTCACATTCAAGGTTCGAGGGATTTGACAAGAACGTATCTTTTGGAGGCCACACTACAAAGGGGAAACCATTGAAATGCATTGGGTGGGCATGGAGGTGCAGCATCCTGCTGGGCCTTGGTAACACTGGGGATCAGGAAAAGGCAGTGGAGTGAATAGTGACCCACCCCTCTTTGCACTAGCTGCCTAAGTCTTGTTGCTGCCATGTAGGGGTGGGGGGAAATGCTCACTTTGCCACAGGACCCCACTGACACTGCCTCAGGAGGGGTATCAAAAGACCACTACCTGCTTTTGCGGGGTGTAAGATGGAAAAATCAGCTTCCTGCTTGGTCAGCCTACACCGCCCGGAAGGGTAGTCGTAGTGTTACCTGCTCAACTTTGCTGACATCACAGGGTGGGGCTGGTCAGAGTCCCACCACCTGCATTATGGGATGAAACCATGGTGGAGTGTAAGTGCTTGTCCCACTGAAGCCAAAGGGTCAGGTGGTTGCAGGTTTAGGTTGATGTTTGGTTGGTGGAGATTTCCTTCCGTTGGGCCACCATTTTGTTCATAGCTACTCCCATAGCGAGGAGGGACAGGCTTTTTCTTGAAGCCTTTTGTTGTTCGTGCCTGCTGGGGGTTCCAGGCTGGAGGCTTCTGCAGTGCCTATATGTAAGGCAGTAAGGAGACCCCGGCAATGACTATGCCATCCTTCAAGTCCAAGGTTCCTAGTCAGTTTGCCTTCTTTTCATCCTATGCTTGAATCTCCCTGTGCTTATGTGCAATCTATTAGTTTTAAGGGGAAGGATTTGGGAGGAATGGATTTTTACATCTCGGCCAAAACCAGAAATTGCTTCATGAAATATTCAATTTAAAATTTTAGGTATCATTCTTTATACTTTCTACTGGAATTCTTTTCAATTTTTATGTTCATGTCTCCTATAATTATCAATTTAAGCAGTAAGTGAAGAAAAAACAATTAGAAAAACATTTTTAACGTTTATTTATTTTTGAGAGAGAGAGAGAGAGAGAGTGCGCAAGCAGGGGAGGGGCAGAGAGAGAGGGAGACACAGAATCTGAAACAGGCTCCAGGCTCTGAGCTGTCAGCACAGACCCTGACGTGGGGCTCAAACCCATTAACCGTGAGATCATGACCGGAGCTGAAGTCAGATGCTTAATTGACTGAGCCATCCAGGCACCACCTTTGCTTCTTTAATCATGATATTTTTAGTTCTTTAAACATATTTATAATGGCTACTTGGAGAGCTTTGTCTGATAAATATAACACCTGGGTCACTCCCACAGGCAGTTTCTGTTGCCTACTTTTTCCTATTATACAGGTCATAGTTCTCAGTTTCTTTTCTTTTTTTTTAATATTTTTATTTATTTCTAGGAGAGAGAGAGAGACAGTGTGAGCAGGGGAGGGGCAGAGAGAGAGGGAGACACAGAATCTGAAACAGGCTCCAGACTCTGAGCTGTCAGCACAGAGCCTGACGTGGGGCTAGAATCCACGGACCGCGAGATCATGACCTGAGCTGAAGTTGGACGCTTAACTCACTGAGCTACCCAGGCGCCCCAAGAAAAAACAATTTAAAATATATTTTAATTTTTAATTAATGCTGACCTCTCACTGTGTATGTTTTCTTACTGATTGTTTTGCAGGGCATTTTCCAGGGGGCACAAAACAAAAGATAAAAGTGCATTAAAGGACAGTTGTTATTAACATCATTCTTATATGATTTAAAACTATGTTGAATGCTGTTCTCCTGTACAACTATGAGTTCCTATTTTCACAAACTGCCTTCAGTAATTTGTACAAGGGTACTGTCTAGAATAGTTTAACAGCATTTATGCACATTGACTTGGAGGTGAGTGGCAGTTAATTGCCACACATGCTTTTCTATGGCCTCATTTCTTCCTTAGGAATGATGAATGACCGTTATGATGACATCCATGTCCTGATGGAATTTTTTGTGCCTTTATTCCGTCTTTTGCATTGAGGATGAAGCTTACTAAGCTGGAAGGCATGGTTGCTTCAATTACTGTTGGGGACAGTTTTCCTCTCATTTCTGTCTGGATAAACATCACTAGTTTGGAATGTGCTGGGTTCCTGTAAACAAAGGAAGCATTAAAAATATAAAGATTTTCAGCTTTATCTATTGAATTTATATTTTCATAGAAAGCAGGATCCTTGTCTTATTCACCATTAATTCCCTTCAGAGGGCTTATGATAGGGCAAGCTGTTACTGAAGGGAGAAAGGAAGGAATGTCACAAAAAAGGGCAGAGTGATTTGCATTGGTAAACATTTTACATGAAAATATTAAGTAACCAGACTATGCATTACTTTTTTAAATTACAAAACTAATATGTGCTTACAAAAATTTAAACAATACAGAATTTTCATAATTATTCTCCTTATCCTGTTTCCCAGAGATAATGACTATAATCACTATACTTTTGATTGTATCTTTTCAGACTATTGCCCATGTATATATAAAGATAGCATTCCTATATGCATAAATGTACACCTACCCCACATATACACACATACAGATTTTTGTTTTTACAAAAATGAGATGTATTTTTCTGCAACCAGCTTTATTTTCCTCTTAGTAGGACAGCATGCATTTCTATTTTTGTTGAGACATACAGATTGGCTTAGATGTTTTTCATGACTGCATACAGTATTTCATTCTCTATTTAACCAGACCTTTATGGAGTATCATTTGGGTTGTTTCTCACTTTTTGCTGCTACTACAAATAAAGCTGCAATAAAACATCTTTGTAATGTATCCATTTGGATTTCTACAAATACATAGGCTTTCTAGGTCAAAGGTTTTGTGCATTTAACAGTTTGAAATATTCTTTCCAAATGACATTAGGAAGACTGTATATAATATTTCATATTCTAACCCAGTGATCTTCAAACTGGAGTATGTGAAGACTTCCCATAGGATATGAGAGGATAATAACATTTATGAGAATACATTTTCAAATCTCTAACATCCACATGTACCTTTTTGCTAAGCTCATCTGAGACCATCTTTGGTGGAGATGTAGGCTTCTCCTTCCCCACCAGCCTGTTCATATCATTCTCTGTTGCTTTACAGAGCAAAGGCATACTTGTCATCTTCCCTGAATAGTACTGAATGATACTACAGTGCTTTACTCTGGCATGTAAAAATCTCTGAGAGGGGTGCCTGGTGGCTCATTCAGTTAGGCGTCTGACTCTTGATCTCAGCTCAGGTCTTGATCTCATTAACTGAGCCGAAGTTGGATGCTTAACTGACTGAGCCACTCAGGTGCCCCTATTTTGTAACATTTAGATACCCATGGTACAGGAAATAAAATGGATTTTTAAAATTAAATACTAATCTTTTTCAAGGAAGCATGGCAGGATGATTAATGAAAGAATTCAAACCATAAAATATATTCTTTTTAGAGAAAATTTTTATGTTTATTTTTGAAAGAGAGAGATGGAGTGCAAGCAGGGGAGGTGCAGAGAGAGAGGGAGACAGAAGATGAAGCAGGATCCAGGCTCTGAGCTGTCAGTACAGAATTCGATGCAGCTTGAACTCACGAACCGTGAAATCATGACCTAAGCCACAATTGGATGCTTAACTCACTGAGCCACTCAGGTGCCCCAAAATATATTAGGATCAAATTATGTGAGGGGGAAAAATTAAGAATGTGGGATCAAGGAGAAAATGAATGATGTAAATTTCTGAGTGTTGAAGTTCTTATTTATTTTGAAATTGATAGTTATGGTAGGTTTCAAGTTATTATGGTAGTTAGAGTCTATTCGATATGCTTATAAGAGTGATATAACACTTTTTAAAAAGTCTCAATATTTAAAGTGCTATAAATTGCATCCCCTTAATTTAATCCTATGCAAAATTTTAATATCAACTTACAAATGTGCAAGGCGGAGCACAATTTTACAACATTCTTTTCGGGGGGTATGAAGACCACTGCTCCCACAAACTGTGTGAGTGTCCATTTATCTCATACTCTTCTCTATGCAGAGTTCAGACCATTTTCACAAAAGTGTCTCTGGTGGCTGGATTGAGAATATTCACTAGCCATGGGTAAGGTCTTAAATCTCTATTTGAGTTTCCAGTATTTACTAGAAAAGTGCCTTTACTACTACTGGTAATAAGCTGTTTTTTAAAGTTTATTTATTTTGAGAGAGAAAGAGAGGGGGAGAGCGAGTGAGAGAGGGGGAGGGAGAATCCTGAGCAGGTTCCACGCTGTCAGCACAGAGCCCAACATGGGGCTTGATCTCATCAACTGTGAGATAATGACCTGAGCTGAAATCATGAGTCAGATGCCTAAGCAACTGAGCCACCCAGGCATCCCCTTATAATAAGCTTTATAAGTTTACTACATGACTAGTTTACAAATGTTGATTGTCCAAAATGTTGTGCTGCATGGAAAGAGAAGGTATAAGAGAATCATTTTCTGTCAGTACCTTTCTCTGAGACTATGAATGAGACTATATCTTTTCTCTAACAGGATGCTAGGCAGAGCTCTTACACGAAATGGGATATCAAGATCAGAGCCTTTGTCTCATGTTTTTTTTGCAGTGGAAAGGGAACGTTAACATGATGCAATATAGGGTCTCAGGTTGTGAAGTACACATTAGAGTGGGTAGCTTCCCCAACTAGAGTCCTTGACAGCAGCTGATTTACCCAGATGATTTGAAGCAATAACCCTGCCTTTGGGTTGTTCTTTCCTGCTGTGGAGCATACAGTCTTGACCATAGATTCAAAAGTGGCAGGTGGGTGGAAATACCATGTATCACCATCATCATCATCTGCACCAATGACCCTGTCCGTTAATGTACATAATTGTGAACTTCTTTCAGTTCTCTAACTCAGTAGAGGATATGTTAAGGAAGATAGCCCAAAATGTAATTTTATTTTGACTTTCCTCACATAAGGTTTTTTTCCCTCCTATTGAGAGGTTTATATCTGACCAATATAAAATGTTACAAGTTTTTAAAAAATTTTTTTTAATGTTTTATTTATTTCTGAGAGAGAGAGAGAGAGAGAGAGAGAGAGAGACAGCGTGAGCAGGGGAGGGTCAGAGAGAGGGAGGCACAGAATCTGAAGCAGGCTCCAGGTTCTGAGCTGGCTGTCAGCACAGAGCCCCACACGGGGCTCGAACCCACGAACCGTGAGATCATGACCTGAGCCAAAGTCGGACGCTTAACTGAATGAGCCACCCAGGCACCCCAAAATGTTACAAGTTTTTCTGTGTCAATATATTTTATTTATATAAAATTATTTAGCAAAATTTAAATTTAAGGAATTTGTGAAATGATCTACCTTGAATTAATATACATACATTTACAAAATATGTGTATTTTATGTTACCATTTATCCCTCGGCTGGTCACCTGTGGGCAGTGACTCATCTGTGATTTCTCCAGCTCTTTCCAAATTTACCTATCTCATTCTGCAGGTATCTGTAAGTGGTCCACTGGAAAGAATTCATTTAGGATAAAGCATTCATTGCTGACAATAGTGAGTATAATTCTTGGGATATTTACTTTTAACTTACAAAAATTCCTTACTAACTCACAGAAGTGACTCTAATGGAGAAATCTGAAGCATCAGGTTAAAGTTAACTGGGGGTGAAGGGATGAGGGGGAATGTATGTGTACATGTGACTCATCCCAGAGACCTCAAATCATACTTTCTAGGGAATTATCCATTCTCATGATGAAAACACTTATAATTTTTTTTTTAATTGTATTTAGGGGCATTTTTGTCCCCTAACAGAATATGCTGGCATACACTTCTACCAATGAGTTAGAAATCTTTAGTTAAGAAATCACAGATTGAACTAAACCCCTGTTAAAATAAAATAAATAAATGCAAGTAACACTTACTCTTGCAGAGGAGAACATACGTAGCCACAAGCATGGTTATAACCACGGATGTAATTTGATGATGGAGGGTAAGCTGGAAAATCCACACTCTTACCTAAGTGATTTAGAAAAAAAGAAGATGAAACATATTTCATAAAGATGAAAAATCCTATTTGAAGTAGCATATTTTTAAAAAAATGTATGATATAACATTTAATTTAATTTAGTTATTGTCAGCACTGATTCTAGTTTTATACATGTGTATGTATGTTTGTACACATGTATGTGTACACAGGTCAAAGCTGAGAAAATGCCTGTATGAGCACTATTGTCCTCTCAAATTATCTCATTATAGTATTTCTAAACATGTTGTTAGCTTTTACATACAAGAAAAATGTGTTCAAAGTATCACTTAATTACCTTCTGAGATTTGAAGCAAAAGAAGAAATCATAAAGGAAAAGACTATTCTATTAAGATGTTGGGTTTATAAATTTTGCTAGCCCTTATTATTTTTAAAGGGTTAGATCCTTTTTATTTATTTTTAAAGTTTTTGTTTGAATTGCAGTTAGATAATCTGTAGAATATTAGTTTCAGGTGTGCAATATAGTGATTCAACACTTACATATAAATTGTTAATCATCTTTTAAATAAAATATTTGATGTAATTTGCACTGTCAGTAAAGATGGTCTAAATGCTCTTTTCTGCCAATTCTCTGTAGCCAATTCAGAGTATAATTAAAAATCAGTAGAGTTTAAGAACCATGCAGCATAGCCATACTGAATGTGAATGTAGAAGGGAGGTGATTTGATTCTAAGTTTATGATAATTATATATACACTTTCTGAAAATATTTTTACCTTTATGTATGTATGTATGTATTTATTTATTTATTTAGGTGTGTTTGTGAGAGAAAGAGAGGATGAGAGAGCACTCACATGCCCAGGCACACGGTGGAGGGGAAGAGGGAGACTTGAACCCCAAGCAGGCTCCTGTGCTGACAGTGCGGGGCGCAATCTCACAACCACAAGATCCTGATCTGAGCCGAAATCAAGGGTCGGAGGCTTAGCCAACTGAGCTACCCAGGTGCCCCTAAAAGTCTTTTTAAATATTTTTCCTTTGTAAATAATGTAAAATATTTACATATTTTTCCTTGCAACTGAAGCCTGCTCTTGCCAGAGAAGATGAATTTTCTTTTATGACTTTAACATAGGCCATCAATTCTATGGGAAATGCAATGTTAAACACCAGCTTCGGAAAGCTTACAGGACAAACAAGGCTGAATGCATTTTCCATGTTCACAATGTGTTCATCATCTTAATAGAGTCTATTGTGCTGACATAATGGAAGTGATATTACCATAGTGTTTCTCTGTTTAAAATACGGAGATTATCCTGGTCTTTAAAACTTTTTTGCTTATATTTCACAGACAAGTATGGATCTTTTATGAGGCATATAGTTGGGCCAGATTTTGGAATGTCAGAAGACTTGAGTTTTAGTTTTCATTCAGCTGCTTCTTAGCTATGTAACTTAGTATCTGTGAACTCTAGTTTCCTCATTGGTGAAAGAATGCACACAAAATATTTAGCTCAAAGCAAGCTGCATAGTAAGTTAAACAACAAAAGGAATGTTAAGAAGAAAACTCAGTATCTATCAAAAATTCATTTAAAGAAAATTGCTTAAAGCAAATTTAGTATTGATCACTGAATGACTGATGATTATGACTATTTGTTGATGTTAACTTCTTCCATACTTCTTTTTTACCTTCCCTCTGACCACTAAAAATGAGACTGAAGTGGTCTCCTTCAAATACAGAAAATAACAGATCTATAATTCAGACATATAGTATTTTGGGCTGTAGGTGGTAAATAAACTCTTATGCACTCTCATTTTAGAAGGAGACAACTCAACGACAACCATATGAAACTACAAGGGACAGCCACATATAAGTGATGAGTATTAGGCCTTAGCAGTAAGCTGCTATGTAGTAGTCTAGTGTCTGAAACTTAGAGTATTACAGACATAAAGTAACTGAAATTTTGTTGGAATATAATAATTAACAATACTTAATTGTCCCTACCCCCAAGTAGTTTACAGTAGAGAAGGCTATTCGGATAGGACTGGTGAGATTAAATTGAATTCTGGAGAAAAACAGGGGTTTAGGCTACTTTCCTACCAAAGTCCCTTCACTGGGAATTACTGTATTTATAGGAGTCCAAAGATCTGTATGGCATGAATGGGTAGATTTTAAGTGAATAAAGCAAGTTAGGGAAAGACTACACATTTGCATTTTACAGAGTGACACCTTTTTTGAGGGAAGGCTAAGGATATATCAAAACCTCCAGTTTCTATAAGAAATATAAGCACATTTATGTAAAGACTCATCTAATGAAAATTTCTTCAGGAATTTTATCAGTTACTAGATATGCCCAATCTACACAACTCAAATATAATATAGCATATCCAAAGATTAACTTTGTGTCTTAGTAGTTTTAAAATGTATGCTGTGAAGTTTCAGCCTACAAGTTACCTGTCTATACTCAGTGCTCCATGGTATAAATTACAAAAGGGCCCAGAGCTGCCATAATCATTGACTGATGTAAGCGGCACCTCCAGAGTTGGGCAAAACTCAGGCTTGTCTATATTATACATACTTTTATTGGTCTCACCAAATTAAAAAAAAATAACAAATTGATTGAAAACAGTTTCTTCCAAACTATGAGTTAAAGGAAAACAAAATTTATTGATTCATAGTAATTCCAAAATGTGGGCAAAATGCTTCAACTTACAACTGATGATATCCATATTCCCTTCGTCGTGCTTGAAGTATACTAAGTCGATAAAGTCTCGGGGGGAAATTGAACCCATGGCAAAACTTTGTGTAATGGTATGACATATGAATGTATCCTGGAACAAATCAAATCATAAAGATTGCAACAGTTATTTCATGTCTACTCTTTGTATCTCTCCCCAAAGAATATCACTGCATAAGGTTAGCTACCATTTGGAAAAGGGAGGGCTTTGAAAATCATCAAAGGAGCTCATATTTTCAGTGTTAGAGAAATATTAGATCTATAACCATAAGTACAAGGGTAGCCAAAGCAACAAATAAACAGGTGGGAACACATCAAACAGAAAAGCTCTGCGCAGCAATGGAAACCATGAATAAAATGAAAAGGCAATGTACAGAAATGGGAGAAAGTAATCTGCAAATCATATATCTGGCAAGGAATTAAGGTAAGTGCAGAAAATTCAGGAAGGAATTCTGTTATTATCTACTCTTTAAATTTTTGGATGAAGAAATTGAAGCCTAACAGATTAAATCACATGCAAAACTAGAGATACATACGGAACTAAAACACATGTTCCTGATTCCCAGTATATTTCTACCCGTCCACTGGTTAGGGAATATATCCTGAAAAATATATTGGTTTAGCACCCTGTGGTGTAAGGTTTTAAAATTAAAGACCAGTATTATAGTGCTGCCTTGACATCTGCTGAAATTAGGAGAGTCTTAAATGGCCTGACTGCAAGGTATTCTCCCCATCCTGTTCCCCCAGGAAAGGTCCCTTAGCCAGGCAATGCCCCTTATGGGCAGGATCAGGCACAGTTCCTACTTGTTCGAGCATAGTGGCTTTTAGTTCCCTGCTGGATGGCAGAGTTAATCCAACCAGTCACAGCCTCCTGTAGGAGTCAGGGGTCACTGCAATCTCTTGACGCTACAACATTTGTCTTGCACAACCCCTGGTTATTTACTCTGCTCCTGGGTGCAACTCCCATGTCACACGCATGACATGGTGCGTCCTTGAGAGTTTAGCTAAGCTATTCCATGGTACTGCTGCTTCAGCAACCTTTTTGTTTGGCCACCGAGCCTGCAGGGGCCTTAAAATGACACTAGCATCCCATGCAAGCGCATGCCTTGGTGACCACAGTCACAAGGAAACGTCATATAACCTCCCCAATGTCCCTTCCAATCAGTGGTCTCCCCTGCCTCCCACAACCTTCCTCTTGTGAGCTCCTTACACACCTCTGGGACTTGTGTTTCACAAAGTGACTTGCTCTTTTTGGTCTGAATTGGTCAATCTGGCCTTAGCCCAGGAATCCCAAAGCACTCCACTCACAGACGCTCAAGTGCTTCAGGCCCTGCTTCTGTGGCCTGCAGCCTGCCTTGACCTCGCCACCTGGCTCCTGGAGGCAGGCCATGTACTTTTTCCAGGACTTGTGAGTAAGAAACTTCTTTATTTCAATTTCTTTTGTGGTCTTTTGTTGAACTGTGGCTCACCATCTGGCACCCTATGCTCTGCTTAACAAATGCCGATTTAACGAAGTTCTAACAGTCCTCCTCTGCTGGCCTGTGACTAATGATTAATAAACTGCTGTAGATATCATTTGTCTGGTGTCAGGTGTCATGTGTTTGACCACCCTCATAACCCTAGAGTAGGAATCCCTCTCTCACCAATGCAGGTGAATGAGTCAATTAAAACACATCTCTGGAGATGCACACCATCAACATTCATAGGAACATCAAAGAATTCTTGTTACAGTGTAATGCTACTGAGAGATTCTGTAATATATTGGAAAGGGCACAGAATTTGGAATCAGGAGATCAAGTGTTAAGTCATGGTTCTGCTTGGTGTGTACACGTCACATAATTTCTCAGAATCTGTTAAGATTTTTTTAATGCCAAATCTAGTATTCTTTCCATTTTTACAACTGACTTGCAGCAACAGCAGGAGCATATGAAGTATGAAAGGAGCTGTGTAATAATCAGTATCATACATTCGTGAAAGAAATAGTCCAAATGTGTGAATTTTCATTGGTGATGGACTCTGTTTCTCAAACTATATGTTAGAATCCCAGGAGAGTAAAGGATAGGTATTTTTTGTGGATAGGAACTTCAGGCCCTGTCTACAAAATGAAACATTTACTTTCCTGGGCTTTTCTACAACCTTCCCTGACTCCAAGCTTTAAAATCAATTTAATAAAAGGAGGTAAAGTTAACCTACAGAGTTCTAAGTAAATTATTAGATGCTGGCAGATAAGTAGGATATTTGTATCGGTGTGTGGAATATGGCTTGAAGACTCAAAGAACCAAAGAACCAGTGACTTGAAATTTTATACATGTACTTGCTTATGAAAATCATATAAGTTCACTTTATGACTCAGTTTTTAAAAATAGCTTATTGAAGTATAAGGTACATACCACAAAGTATAGCAGTCTTAATAAATAAGACGCTTGCAGTGTGCTGCCTTAGTTGTCTCTTACATTCGGTCTTTTCTCCTGCCTCTGTGACTTAAACTTTCTACTCTAATTACCTGTATTCTTTTTTCTTCTTTGTTTTTATTCTTCCTGGTCATCTATTTGAGATAATGTATTTGAAAGTTTCTAAAACCACAACTATACAGATAGATATATAGGTTTATATAACCACAATATATAGATATTATTCCATATTATATCCCTTACTCTTAAAAAAAGTTACATTATGTGTCTGCATTGTTCTTGTTATCTAATGTATTATGATGAAGATAAATCTACTGACTTCCCATCCTGAAGGCATGCTTCATCTTTTTTTCATGTAATGGAAGAGGTGAATACATAAAGCTCAACCCCCTCAAGGCCAAAGGCACACATCTACAAGAAAGCTGGATAGATTCAGAAGGTGCTAAGCCTTTACAACAGAATAAAAAGCTAATTGGAAATAAACTTTTGACTAATAAACAGAGAAATTTTAAGGCTTTTATAAAGATTTCAATTCAATTTGAGTCTATAAAATATGAAGTGTCTATAGTTATACAGGTTTAATATATTCAAATCACTAATACAACTAAAAATATATTAATACAGTGAAAGTCAAATATTAAACGACAAATTACCGAATCAATCCTGTGTACCATGTTGTACACTTTCAATGATTTATCCCATGTCACTCTGTTTTCAGGTTTGTAGAGGAATTCGGATAGTTTAGTTGTTGGCTCTGGAATTATTCCTTCAACACGATATCTTTAGTTAACAAAGTAGAGAAAATTCAAAATTTTACTAGTTTAGGTTTAGCTCAAAATATAATGCTATCATAGTAGGCTAATTTAGCAAACAGCAGTAAAGAACACTTGTAGGTAATATCAGCAATTCAAAACACTAATATTCAATTGGAAGTAGCCAGGTTTATTTAAATAAGCATTGCAGTAATTAATATAAATTATTTCAAGATGCATTTTTCTACAAAGCTTGTTTATAATGTTTTATAGTTGTCTTATTAGAGGGGCTATGGTCTTTTAAGATTTTTCCAAAATCTTTCTCACAAATATTTACCTGCTGTATTTATCGTAAGCCAAATGTAATTGATGAGAAGTTTGTGTGCTTATACATACAGTATCTTACAGCCCCAATTCATTAAAAAAATTTTTTTTAATGCTTATTTATTTTTGAGAGGGAGAGACAGGACACAAGTGGGGAGAGGCAGAGAGAGAGAGGGAGACACAAACTGAAGCAGGCTCCAGGCTCTGAGCTGTAAGCACAGAGCCCAACGTACTAACAGTGAGACCATGACCTGAGCCGAAGTCAGACACTTAACCGACTGAGCCACCCAGTCCCCCAGTCCCAATTCTTAATTTAATTTCCTTAATTTAAGGATGTAATGTGGTCTAAAGCAGTGGTCAGCAAATTCTTCAGGAGAGGGCCAGATGGTAAATAATTCAGGCTTTGCAGGCCACACGATCTATGTTGCAACTATTCAACTTAGGTAGGGTAGCAGTGAAGCAGCCTAATGAATAAGGCATGTCTGTGTTATAGATGAACTTTATTTATAGACCCTGACTTTTGAATTTCATTTATTTTTCACATGTTGGGATTTGGACAAGTAACTAACCTTTGTGTTTATCCATCAATGAAATTAGATTTTTATCTATCAATGAAATTAAGATAATGTGAGAAAACTGGATTAAAACTCACTATTTAGGAGAATGTTGCTGAATAAAAATGAAATCTGAATAATATTGGTTCTATTCTTCTCCCAGGAAATCATTCTTTCCAACCTGAGGGGATAGGTTTAAGTAAAATCAAAATTTTAAACCTCTAAACAGTTATAATTCCTGGGTAGAGTGAGACAAAAACCAAACAGTATTGTTACACTAGTCATATTTATGAATAGTTCTTCCTCTGAAACTTTGTTTTTATGATTTGGTAAACAAATAAGGAATTCATTAGATTATGTCTTTGTATGTTAATTTCTCTTTAAAAGAGAAATTAGTTAGTCCTTAATTTTCTCTATGAGATATTCTCAACTTTCCTTACTATGTAATGCTTCCTTTCTCAGATCTACAAAGTTTTAAAGAGCTTATTATGAAGCTCTGTATAAGACAGTGAGAAAACAACCTGAATAATTATCAGGTCCTGTACAAAAAGAAGTCAGATATAATATAGTTAAAATTTAGGTACAATAATATTAAGGGATGTGTACATACTACCATGGATTGTTTTTTATTAATCAGTTCTCTCTAGTTACATTGTAAATTTGGAGTATAAGGAATTTTTAACCTTTTGGTATTTCTAACATATACAGATCTTCCTTGACTTTTGATGGGGTTACATTAAGATATATAAGATTTGATGAGGTTACAATAAGCGCTCTCCATCGTAAGTTGAGAATATCTTAAGTCAAAAATGCATTTAATACCCCTAATCTATATCATAGCTTAGCCTTGCCTGCTGTAATTGTGCTCCTAACACTTACTTTAGCCTACAGTTGGGCAAGATCATCTATGATCTTGGATCTATGATCCAACACAAAGCCTATTTCATTAAAAAGGGTTGATTAACTCATTTAACTTAGGGAAGGATGTCTAATATACCTATAAGTTTATCAACATTTAAGGATTTGTGACTTTTCATATCTACTGTTTAGAATAGAGGTTGGCAAGCTATGGCCTATAGGTCAAGTCTAGTGTACTTCCTGTTTTTGTAATTAGTTTTGTTGAAACACAGCCATACTTACTCATCATGTGTTGTCTGTGTTGACTTATGTATAGTGCTTTTATGCTATAATGTCACAAAAATGTATTGTCTATCTATATGTTGTGTTTCTATGCTCTAATGGCAGAGCCAAGTAGGTGCAACAGAGACCATAGTTGCTGCAAAGCCTAAAATACTTACTTATTCTCTGCACCCCCACTGAAAAAATACACCAACCCCTGGCTTAGACTATCTACTCAGTGGCTAATTTGTTAATTTTCCAGGCATTTGTAAAGGTGAGATAAGTAGCTACAGGTATTATATGAGTAAAAGGTGGAAAGTATTTATTTTGCTTTTTGGAGGATTATAAAACACAGTTAAAGCTGTGTCTTGGGCAGATGGTAGGCCACTAGTTAAAAATGACCTTATCTTAATTCACTAATTAGAGTTAGTGGCTTTTAAAAAATGTGTGAATATCAAGTCTCTTTGAAAACAAAACATTAATGTGCCTTGGGTATGAGTTCTACTGTGTTCATGGCTCTTTCAGAGATAGCAATATTGTCATATTTGGATTTAAACTATATTTTTATATCTATTGATCATTATGATGAACAGTTCATTAGATATTTTACTATGATCTACAATAAAGCTTTGTGCTTATTATTCATGAAGTGACCTCATGTCACATTAAAAATATTTTAACCGTGGTGTCTGGGTGGTTCAGTTGGGTGAGCGTCCGACTCTTGATTTCAGCTTGGGTCATGATCCCAGGGTTAGGGCATCTAGTCCCTCCCACACTGGGCTCCACACTAAGCATGGGGTCTGCTTGGGATTCTCTCTCTCTCTCCTTCTGCCCCTCTCCCTTGCTCATGTTCTCTCTCTAAAAATTAAATAAATATATATCTTAACTATTTTGTCTTTTACAGTTTCTGACTGTATAGCTGGTATGTGGAACAACTGATAGATCAGGACATATGAAGTTACAATTTATTTATAGACCATACATTTCATGAAGCTTTCAGGTAGCAATGAAAACCTTTTGGAATGTGTGGATTTATATCAACATATTTATTTTAATGTCTGTAACTACTTTATAGCCTTTTATGATTTAAATTTTTTTTTAATGTTTTTTACTTATTTCTGAGAGACAGCGTGAGCAGGGGAGGGTCAGAGAGAGAGGGAGACACAGAATCTGAAACAGGCTCCAGGCTCTGAGCTAGCTGTTAGCACAGAGCTTGAAGCGGGGCTCAAACCCACAAACCATGAGATCATGACCTAAGCCTAAGTCAGCCGCCCCACGGACTGAGCAACCCAGGCACCCGTAGCCTTTTATGATTTTTGTGAATGAGCACTGCCAGAAGAGTAACTAGGAGATTGAGGAGGAGAAAAATAATATAAGGTGTCTATTTTGGCACACTAGAATTTGTAAACTTGGGGAAGCATCTGTAAGATGATAAATCACAGGCTTTGAATGATCATCTTTTTCACATATCCTATGTGATATGAGAGTTGGGGGTGGGACTTCCAGAGTAGCTATGTGAGAATCTTAGTAAATCCTCCTCCACAGTGAAAACAACTGTTTCACAACAAACTGATGAAAATTACTTTAAAAAACAGCTATTGAAATTCTCTAGGAAATGACCTAAGGACATTCAGGAAATGGAGAAACGTTTATTCAAGAATATCTACTAAATCCAGATAGGCAAAGTAAGAGTCTGTAGCATTTGAGCCATGATCTGCTTCTAGCCAACTCCCTTGAGTCCTGGAAGACTAGGAGGGACTCCCTCTCCCCACTAGCTCTCAGTCTAGGGCTATGGTTTCATCCTAGAGGGGTGGGTCACTGACATTGCTAGGCTCATGCTGCTAAACTCTATTCCCAGCAGGCACTGCTGAGAAGACTGAGGCTTCCTTACCTGACCCAGAGTTTACTGATAGGATGAGGGCTCTCTTCAAGGCACAATAGGCTGTAAATACGGAGGTCTAGTTCCCCTTCCTGCTACATTAAGAGGGCAAACTGAAGTCATAGTGTCATCTCTCCCCAGTGTCACCCTCACGTCCCCCTTCTGCTCATGGATGGAGGTGTCACTCAGCTCCAGTAGTAGTGATAGGCTCTGCTCGAGGGCAAAAGCAAGACAAAATGAGCTGGCAGCATCTCAGCCAGGCCTGAGAAGACAGATTTCATTTGAAACAAAATGTGGAGAAAGTTTTGAACAAAAAAATACAGATTTTGTTAGTGAACAATCAGAGGAATTACATGGAACTACAGAAGCCCAAGAAGACCAGCCAGAAGTAGGGAGAGAAGCAGCTAGGTGAACAATGTAAGATCACACTTCTCCCTGGCAGGGGGGTTGTGTGTGGAAGGCTGTGTCTATGCAGTAGACTGCCCCTACTCAGAGCAAGTGGCGTGGATGAATTATGTTGCCCCTACTCAAGCTATGAGAATAGATGTACGAGGATACCCTTAACTCAGAGCAATCAGAGGAGATACATAGGGTGCCCCTATTCAGAGCAATCAGAGTGTATGTGCTAGGCCGCTCTTACCTAGAAAAGAGGGGATGTTTGCTACTCAGAGCAAACAGAGATCGTGTACTAGGCAGTCCCTACTCAGAGAAATCAGAATGCATGTATTAGGCTGCTCTAGTCAGAACTAATCAGATTGGATGTTCTAGGCTGCCCAGACTCAGAGCAGAGTTTATGTACAAGGCTGCCTCTTCTCTAGAGCAGTAAGAAGAGACTACGAGGCTGCCCCAATTCAGAGTGATCAGGAAGATATACTGCGCTGCCTCTAGTCAAAGCAATCAGTCAAAGAAGTCAAAGCCTCTAATCAAAGCAAAGGGTGTTATACTAGGTTGCCCCTACTCTGAGCAATCAGATTAGATATACTAGGCTGCTCCTATGCAGAACAGTTAGAGTGTATATATTAGGATGGTCCTACTCAAGCATTTGGATTAGATGTACCAGGCTGCCACTACCATGGGGTAATCATAGTGTACGTAAAAGACTGCCCACTCAGAATAATTATACTGCATGTACAAGGCTGCTCTTATTCAGGAATAATCATACTAGGTTTACTAGGCTGCCTCTTCTAAGGGACAATCAGAATGGATGTACTAGGCTGCCCCTCATGGGAGCATTCAATGTAAGATATGTTGGTGACTTACAAGCATTTTCCAAGCTGCATATGGATTAATCAACAAGGAATTGAAGCCTTACTGCCTTAAGAGACTTAAATATAACCTCTGACACATAATGTATTCTGACTACTTTAAAATAAAATCATACTCTTTGCTGCTGTTCTGGAAGAACGTCTGTATGCCCACGAGTGCTCCCTCTGAGGAGTGGCTGGTTACAGAACTTCCAAGTTACCTGTCCCTGGCTAAGTGCAGGACAACATCATAAAACTGTTGAATTGCAAAAACAGTCTGTAAGCCCTACACAGATCCAACTGTAAAAAGCAAAAATCCTGCTAGGTTGGTGGTCTTAAGCACAATTTGTGATCAATAGATGGCTTATGTTGATCCCTCCTATAGGCTAAAAGATAAAAACAAGGGGAAAAAATCCAAACAGGGATTATCAGAGGCTGCAGAATAGACTTCCAGAATTATTCCACAGAAACCATTCAATAAACAAATATAACATCAAGCCTGGTGGGTGGGTGGATTATGTATCCAGAGTTGCCACAGTATATTACTTAAATCTTCAGTTTTCAATAAAAAACTATGAGGCATTCATGTAAAGAAACATAAGTATGATGTATGCAAAGAAAAACAGCAGGCTAGAAAATATTTGTAGGATATATGAGGAGTAAATTAAACACTGACAAGAAGTCTCAGCCTACTGCCTGACATATAGTAAAAGATTAATAAATGTTAGCTGCCGCTAACCTTTTGGGAAATGTGTAGGGTTGAACTGTGTGCTGGTAATCTGTATTTCATCCCTTGAGGGTGAAAAGAAAGAAATTCCAACCAGAGAACTGGCACTCTTCTCTTGCGTATACCCAAGTGCTCCAAGCTAACCACAAAAGGTTATTTTGTAAGTGCTAAGAAGATATCTTTGGTTTATAGGTTTGTGCTCCAGTTACAAGGGAAATTTAAAACTTTCTATTTGGCAACCAATATAATAGAACTAAAGTCCATAAATCCATTCAAAACACATTTACTGAGTGTGTATGTGATAGACACTTTTCTGGTGCTAGGGACACTGTGATGAACGAAAGCGATTTCTTGATAATCTCGTTCCTATTCCCATCAAGTTTATAGTCTTTTTAAAAATGTTTATTTATTTGAGAAAGAGAGAGAGTGTGTGAGAGAGCATGCAAGTAGGGGAAGGAGCATGCAAGAGGGAGAGAATCCCAAGCAGACTCCATACTGACAGTGCAGAGCCTGACATGGGTCTCAATCCCACGAACTGTGAGATCATGACCTGAGCCAAAACCAAGAGTTGTCTGCTTAATTGAGCTACCCAGGTGCCCCAAGTTTATATTCTAATAGGACATATAATAAATAAGAGAACAAAGGAAGAAGATAAATTTCATATAGTGATAGATTCAAATGAAGAGGGCAGCATAGTAGTAAACAGCAGCTGGTGTGTCCAGGAAAGTCACTCTAAAGAGCAATGAGACTGAGATCTTGAGGACAAAAATGACATTAGCCTTGGAAAGATTTGGAGTAAGAGCATGCCAGGCAAGTGAAGAGCAACTACAAAGGCTCTGAGGTGGGTTTAAGTTCATTGCGTTCATGAGACAGTAGTAGGAGAGTGAGGGTGAAGTGGTAGGAGAGGGAGATAGGCTAGGGTTAGACAGTGCCCTGCAGAGCTTGATAAAGGGTTTGGATTTTATTTTAGATCCAATGGAAAGCCTTTAGAAGATTTTCGGTGGGGGAGTGACATAATCTGAATTATTTTAAGAATCTACTTTGACCATTGTGTGGAGAATGGGATACCGTTGAGTAAGAATAGATCCGTGGAGTCCATTAGGAGTTACTGAGCTAATCCATATTAGAGGTGCTAGTGGCCTACACTAGGATGATAGCAAGGAAATAATGAAAAATAAATCACTTCTCTGTACAGCCCATTGGGAGCTAGTCCTTGAATGGCTCTCAGTGTGGTATAGCATCTTGCACACAAATGTCCAAGAAGTATTGTTGAATGAATAAATAACTTCCAAGGTTTCTTTGACGGATAGGCTGCTATCCAGACTTGTCCGGTATGTAAGGCACCAAAAAGATATAATATTTTTCTAAGAGTTTATTTTTTGACCTCACCCACTTCCTTCCTTGGGTCTGTTTTTGAAAGTGTATCTATTAGAATCATTACTTATTTAGACAATGAAGGCAGGGATTATCTTCCTGATAATTATTAAAATGAGTAGGACAAAGCATACCAGTCTTGTTCTGTAGTAAAAAAATTGGATTGAGACAAAAGGTAAGGAAATCTTAGATTAAAAAAAGGAGCAAGAAGCATAAAATGAAGTAGATCAAAGAAAAAGTGGACTCCAAAAAAAAAGAAGTGGAAATTTGATTTTGATAACATAAGATGATGTGTTTGCATTAATGTGACATCATGAGCAATGAATGGATAGCTCTTAAGAATAAGGTTAAAAATGTCAGCACAATTACCCTCAGTGTAGTTATATTTGAAATAACAGGATCTTCAAAAATCCTGCTTAAAAGCAGCTTTCAGAAAACATTACATATATCAGCAAGAGAAATGACTTGGGGAAATAAATTTTATTTTACAGTGGCTCATTTAATGGAAAGATGAAATGTTTGAAAGGCTGCAAAACACTACTGTTAGCAAGAAAACACCAATCTGTTTCTAAAATAATTATTTCTTGAAGTAGAAATTTCCTGTCTTAATGAATTGTTCACTTGGAAAGACATTTTTTTCCTGATTGTCTTTAAGTTTGAAAATGATTCAATGGTATGTAATTGCTCTAATTTATTAATACCACATTTCAAACTAGTGACTTAATAATTCATTTCTATTTCCTGATCACTATCAAGCAATGTTATAGCCAATGAAGCAGCACTGATTTCAGATATATCAATGCCACTGAGTTCAAAACATCTATAAATGGGAGACTGTACTCACAGATTTCCATGGAACTTTTTGGAAGCCTTGCTGGAAACAGTTATCTTTTTCTTAAAGGGAAATAAAAATCCAGAAATAAATTAACTGTCAGGTACAGAAAAGATGAAAAATAAAAACCAACAAACAAAAAGGAAAAATACATTTTTTGGTTTGTAAAAGAAAATATTTTAAAAAGTCTTTATAATGAATCACTTCTCATTAAAAAATAAACTCTTGAACCATGTTTAACTTGTTTGCTTACTGAAGTCTTAACCACTTTCCAGCCTGATGTATCTTGATTGTATCTTAAAATTTCTTGAGCAGTTTCTTGGGCAAGTGCCTTATAGTCCATCTACCTGCAAAGCTGTAAAAACAGCTGCCTGGTAAGAATATAATCATACAAAACAATTTTAAAATGCTGTATTACATTTTAATACTATTTCTACAGTGCCTATCACATAGTAATGAACAATCATCATTTTTTTATTAAGTTTTTATATAATAATTTCTAAATGCATGCACATATGAATTGCTTCTTCATTATTCATAGTCTTTGAAATGAGAAACTGGTATACTACGAAGAATAGGCTTTGGACTGAAAGAGACCTTGGTCAAATCCTGTCTCTGCCACTAACTGTGAACCATATCATTTAGTATTTCTGTGTTCCCATTTTCTGGGATAATAACTAAATGTAGAATTAATGTGAGGATTAAGCAAGATAATGCACTTAACTGTCCTACCCGATGCCTGGCATATAATTATCATTCAATAAATGATTAATATTTCTTTGGGGTGCTTGGGTGGCTCAGTCGGTTGGGTATCTGACTTCGGCTCAGGTTAGGATCTCACCACGTGTGAGTTCGAGACAGATTCTGTGTCTTCCTTTTTCTCTGCCCTTCACCCACTCATGCTCAGAAATAAATGAATGTTAAAAAAAAAATTAAAAAATTTCCAACAGCTTAATCATGCTTCTTTTCTCTTGTAAAGTTCATCATTTGATGATCATGTATTCTTGGGAATTAGTCTTTTTATTATTTATTTATTTATTAACAATTTTTTTAAATGTTTACTTATTTTTGAGAGAGAGAGAGAGCACAAGCAGGGGAGGGGCAGAGAGACAGGGAGACACAGAATATGAAGCAGGCTCCAGGCTCTGAGCTGTCAGCACAGAGCCCGATGCAGGGCTGAGTTGAAGTCAGAGGCTCAACAGACTGAGCCACTCAGGTTCCCTGGGAATTAATCTTTTTAAAGTGAGGGCAGTGGCACTAAATGATCTGATCCTTGGCTTCCTCTCCAAAGGCAACTCCTACCTGTCTTCTCTCCTACTCAGGTTGAGTCGTATTGACTTGGCTGTTCCTTAAATACAGCCAAAGACCTTCCTACCTCAGGGACTTTGTACTTACTGTTCCTTCTGTTTGTAACATTCTTCCCAAATATGAGTGACAGATTCCTGTTCATTGGTGTCTTGTTTAAATTTCACCTCTTTAGACAGGATCAAGTTCAATATAAACATATTTACTAAATCCTTTACTAGGGATTAGGTACTGTGGTAGGTGTGGCAAAAACAAGTAAGATACTATTTCTGTTCTGAATGTGTCCAGGAAAGTGGAGTCTCCTTGGTCCTTTGGCCCATCATCTAGTTTGCTGGTTGGTACGGTGGAGAGAAACACACAGCTGGATTCAAATCCTAGCTCTGGTACTCACTACCAGTTATATTATTTTGAATAAATTGCTTAACCCTTAATCTTCAATTTTTATATCTGTAGATTGGGGATAGTAATACATATCTCATGGGGTCATTATAAGGATTGAGTTAATATATGCCAAAGTGATTGAAACAGTGTGGGGCCCCTTAATGATCAGAAACATTAGTGTTTTTTTTTTTTAATTTTTTAATGTTTATTTGTTTCTGAGAGACAGAGAGAGACAGTGTGAGCAGGGGAAGGTTAGAGATAGAGAGAGACACAGAATCTGAAGCAGGCTCCAGGCTCTGAGCTGTCAGCACAGAGCCCGGCATGGGGCTTGAACCCACGAACCGTGAGATCATGACCTGAGCCGAAGTCAGGACACTTAACCGACTGAGCCACCCAGGCGCCCCATTAGTGTTTTTTTTTTTTTTTGAAATGACACATTTAAATATATCTTTTAAAAAACTCTCCAAAGAGCTGCCTCAATAAACCTTCTTAAAGTTAATGATCAGAATCATGTCTTAATTAGCTGTCACCTAAAGCTCTAGGTTGGATCATAAATCCACCTTCTCTTGTTTTGTTCTCTAGCAAAGCGTAACACGTAGTCAACATCTATATTTGAAAAGCTTTAGTAAACCATTACAACTCTTTTTTTCCTAGTAGACTTTCAGTTTCTTTACCTTTCCTAATAGATCTAGTCCAAAATTTTAATAATTATTGGGACTCTCCTCCAAATCCTTGTGGAGATCTCCATATCTCTTAACCTGTGAAGGAACAAAGAAGAATTATTTTGATTCATGAATTAGGTCAATATATTTGATCATTTCCTTCGTATTTTCTCAGTGTTCTTTATTTTCACTTTATATCCTCATTAACATTTGCTACATATGCCCACGATGAAAGAAAAAAGTAGTAAAAGAAATGTTACTACTGTTTATGAAAAGGACCTTTAAGAAATTATTTTAAAGAAGGACTGGTTTAAAAGACATTCTGGTAGGGGCGCCTGGGTGACTCAGTCAGTTAAGCATCCGACTTCAGCGCAGGTCATTTCACGGTTGGTAAATTCAAGCTCTGTGTTGGGCTCTGTACTAACAGCTCAGAGCCTGGAGCCTGCTTCAGAGTCTGTGTCTCCCCGTCTCTCTGTTCCTCCCCTACTCATGTTCTCTTTCTCTCTTTTTCAAAAATACAGATTTAAAAAAATTAAAGAAAAAAAGACATTCTGGTGGAATGATGCCAAACTTTTAGGGTCATGCCATTAACAGTCCTTGGCTGGTCCCTGATCTGTGCTTGCCCCGGCATATGTAACACAGTTCTTTATTTCCTATCAGCAACATACTTGACATTGAATGTTAAATTTAAAGAAAGCACAGATTATTGGACCACAGCACTAGAGTGTACACTCCTGTACACTAGAGTGTACTTACACATTTTCAAATCACTACCACTTACTGCCACAATAAACGTGTTTAATTGAACCACTCAAATGAATTTTATAGCTCGTGGGCTTTTTCATTTGCCAAGAAAAAAGGACAGGTTAAATTTAGTGGGCCAGAGAGGGTGAAAAGAAAAAAACAAACAGCAGGATTACAGCCCAATTACCTTGTGATGTGACATCGGATGAACTGGAACATATTCCGGTGGAGTAGTGGTCGGGGATATCTTCACCCATAGGGGCAGGGGAAAAAATAAACATAAACCAATATTGAGATGAAATCTTTTTTTTTTTTTTTTGATACACCACTTGGTTGAAACTGGATTCTTCGCACCTCATATCCTGTCCCAGCCTCGTAGACAGATTCGCATATGTTATTAGTGGGTCTTTACATCTGTTTGTACATAATCTCCCTTTTTCTGGGCTGCCTGACTGGGTCCCCAATCCGTGCTGGGTCACTGCCATTCTTCCCTGAGAATCAGGGTCCCCCAGGAATTTGTTAAATCCCATCCCTGGCCAAACTCCCTCCTCCAATCTCGCATGGAGCTGGCCTCCAGCCCAGGAGGACCGGGGTCAGGGACGGGGTGCGAGGAGAGAGGGAAGGAAGGGGTCCGGGGAGCTGCCCCTCCACCACCGGCGGAGACGGCGTCTTATCCTGGGAGAGGGTGCTCGGAAGGCGGGGAGGACAAGCCCCAAACGGCAGCCGGCGGCGCCCCCGAGTCTCCTTCCCCACCTCGTCCCCTCACACACTCCCGGGGAGCCCGCGAAGAGCGGTGACCGAGGACGGGAGGACGTGCGGGGCAGACACGGGTACGCAGTCTGAGGTCAACCCCCCTAACCCAGAAAGATGAAGACGGAGAAACTACACTTCCCAGCAGGGAGTGCGACCTAACGCCCCGCCGCATCCCCTTTTCCCCCGCGGCCTCCGCCCGTCACCCAGCTGCCCCAGGCGCAGAGCGCCACGCATGCGCACCGCAAGCCAGCGCCATGTTGGGTCAGTTTGAAAGCGGGCGCGGGCGTCGCGCTCCGCTGTGACGGCGGAGCTGGCTTCGAGCGAGCGGAGCTCGAGGCGGGGCGGTGTCCCGGTCGGGGATGCTTTGTCGCGTCTCCCGTCGCGGTAGCAGGCGCAGGCCTTCGGTGGAGAGTTATAGAAGGGTGCGTTTTTATCTCTTTTGGAGACTTGGTCGGTGAGCTCGGCCCGCAAAGGGACTGTATTTTCGAGGGGCGCCCCATCCTTTGACAGCCGGTGGGAAAAGCTAGAGAAAGGGGGGCTTGCGGGGGCGGGGAGAGAGGAAGACGCTCCGGAGGGAGGGCGCGAGTGGACATTCCCCGTGGGAAGAGAGCATGTTTAGCGGGAGGCGAGTCCGAGAACGGGACGGAGGGGACCTGACGTGGGGCCGTGGGGACCCGGGGCGTAACGGTGATTTGGCCTTAGGGCTGTCACCTCCGAAAACCTCCGTCCGCCCCCGGTGGGGCTCACGCTTGCTGCCTGATAAATGGCTTCGGGGTGGAAGTAGCTAACTGAAGTGTTTGTCTGTGACCGTCGGGGGTGCTGGAATCCCGCGGGCTGGGTGCCTCCTAGGTAAGCGCGGAAGGGGCGAACCCGCCGCGTCCCGAGGGGAAAAGATGCTCTCACGCAGGGAGGGAGGCCCGCGACCCTCGCCTTCCGGGTCCGTTAATTCTTGTCTTCTAGCTGTTAGAAATAAACTTCGGTTTCAAAACATCCATCACTCGTGTTTCCAGGAGTTCTTCGTTTCCTGCGAGCTAATTCCCGTTGGCTATTTAACACTGAACATTCTGTTTTTGAATCCAAGGGAGTCGAAATTTCTTGCCATCCGTGTACCATTTTATTTCATTCCTCGGAATGATGGATTTCCTTTTGGCGATAGGAGCGGAAGTGTTTACGGAAGAAATGGTAAGACCCACGGGATTCGGTTCCGGATAATCCTGTGGTGGAAGTTGGGAGAAGTGGGAAAAAGTTGGGGTGTGTCGGTGATTGTTTGAAGCAGGGTAATGGGTGCATAGGGATTTATTAAATTATTCTACTTTTGTGTCCTTTCGGGAGCTCTCCGCAATAAAAATTCAGACGGCTTTTCTTTCTGCCCTCCTGTGAATTAAAATCAGTGATATTACCCACGTACTGAGAACTGTAATCCAACAGCTTTACCTTGTAGGGTTCGTTTTTGTTTTTTATTACAAGTTTTTGTTTAAATTCGAGTTACTTAACATATGGTAAATTGGTTTCTGGTGTAGAAGTTAGTGTTTCATCACTGACATATAACACCCGGTGTTCATCACAGCAAGTACTCTCCTTAAAAAAATGTCTTTAATGTTTATTTTTGAGCCCCCTCCCCACCCCAGGGGCAGAGAGAGGCGGAGACAGAATCGGAAGCAGGCTGGGCTCTAACCCAAAAACCATGAGATCACGACCTGAGCTGAAGTCTGAGGCCTAACGGACTGAGCCACCCAGGCGCCCACAAGCACCCTCCTTAATGTGTGTCACCGGCTTAGCCCATTCCTGCCCACCTCCCTCCATCACACCTGTTTGTTCTCTATCCTTAGGAGTCTCCTATGATTGGTTTCCTCTGTCCTCTTTGCCCTTTCCCCGTGTTCGAGTGCTTTGTTGCTTATGTTTCATATATGAGTGAAATTGTGTGGGATTTGTCTTTCTCTGACTTATTTCGTTGGAATAAGGGAGAAAATGTTTGGTTAAGCAGTGTTTACTTGAGAAAATTTAATCCTCATTATTGCAAGGGGTAAAGAAAGAGCAAAGCTGACTTAGCCTAGCCATTCTGCAGGGGTACACCAACCTCACAGCATGCAGGGAAATCACAGAGGCTGATGGAGAGGCTGATCTTATGTTCTGCGGCTGCTTCACTTCCGACGGTCAGCTCTCTTGCAAAGGCAGATGCATGCTTTAAAGCTGAGGCAGGATGATATTTTACTCTTCTTTAAATGGAAAACTTTCAGCATTTTAAAGTCGAATTTGATAGTTATTAAGATTATATTAACAGTTGTTATCACTGTTAAACATTCCCAAGGTTATAGCCCAAAGTTAAACATACTAACTTTATAACATTATAGCATGTATTAAGTCCTAGACAGTAATCTTTCCTTTTTAAGTACAAGAAAAAAATCCATTTCCACTGATTTAATTTTAAAAAGAATGTCATGTCATGTATCGAGTAACGCCTATTTCTTTTTAGTTTTTCAAATGTAGATCATATTACTTTATTAAGGTGAATACTTTGTCGATTTCCCAATTATCTAGTCTCTTTTAAAAGAGAGGTAGGTTTAACATAAGAAGTGAAAATGGTAAGTGTATTTCCAAAAGCGAAGGTGAGAAAATGATTAACAATAACAATGTTATTTTAGGAAAAGAGCATGTTGCTACCTCAATAAACTTGTGGTTTATTTCTTTATAATAAATACTGTTCATTACTTTGTTCTCAGGTTTTTCTGGAGGAAAGGGCTGGTTAAAGTTACATATTGGCATTTACAACATTAAAAGTGGATATTCTATTCTTGTTTCTAATACCTCATCTGATGCCTTTAAAAATTTATTGAGCACCTACTATCTGTACTATTTGAGCACCTGCTATCTATACTGTATAACAGCAGGCTTATGAATTGAAAAATATTCTGTGTAGGGAAGTGTTAGGTATTGTGATGTCATAGAGTCTATCCCCATAATAAAAGACTGCACATCAGCAGTACTCTTCCCTTGGTGTTAGTCTCAGATAATTATGTGTACACAATTCCAGGCACATAGTAGGTACTCGGTAAATGTTTTCTAAATCAATGCTGAAGGAATTCACAATAATTATAATAATAGAAAATAATGTGCATTGCCTAAAAAATTATAGAAATGGATTTTATTTAAATTACATATTTAGTAATTTCTCTCTATATGGCTATTATTCCTTTTAATGGAACCTTAACCTATTGTTTTTGTATTACAGTTTTTAAGAGAAATGAATAGAAATAACCCATTTTGAGGAAGCCATGGCAAAATCAATTACCAAACACAGAGTTTGTTCTCGGGAATCTTCAGTATCTTCTCTGTTAGCCAGCTGCAGCCTGAGTGGTAGTAATTCCTCTAACTCTGATGGCTCTTTTCAGTATAAAGATAAACTATATAGTTCTGCCTCTCAGGCTCTACAGGCCTATATTGATGATTTTGATTTAAGCCAAATGTATCCTCGTGCAAGCACTGGAAAGATTAACAATGATAGATGTTCTGCTAATATGCCAGAATTCTCCAACTATGTTTATAAACCAAACAATGGTATGCTTTATTTTTTAAATTTTTTTCCTCCACTGATTTAAAGCATTTGAGAGATGTATTGTAGCCTTGAAAAACTAGATCCTTTTTTTTGTTGTTGTTCCTTTGGGGTAAAAATGACATGTAATATTGAGGTCTGGATGTTTTTCTTAAATGATTCTGTAATTCTCTGGTTCTCAAGGATTTTCAGCTAAGATCTTCTTGTGACCTTGGAGGGGAAGCTGATGAATGTAACTAATAATGGCAGGTTGTTGATCCTAAACCCTTAAGCCATTTTATTTTAGCATAATGGAAAGAGCATTAAACTTGGTGGTTCTAAGTTTCATTAACTAGCTTTATGACTTCAGATAAACCTAACTCTTTCTGAATTTATACTTGATCAATCCCAGTTAATGTGATAAGATTCTGTCTTCGATCTGTATTCTATGGGACGATAATATAAGGTGTTAAGAGTTTTTCCTTGATGCAGCTCCCATGAAGACAAGTTTGGAAAATGCATCTATTGATAACCCAGTTTCACACTTTACTGAGGACTTATGGAAAGGCCCTAGTATGGAAAAAATTTCACTCAACTCTTAGAATTATGTGGGCAATATATATTCCAGAAGAGTCTTAATTAGGACAGCTATTCTCTTTGTGTTAATGCTGTTGCAGGTTTAATAGGCAGATAGCGAATTATTTTTCCACCTAGTTTAATAGTATATTTTTCTTCTGTGTTGCAGCCAGTGTTGAGTGACCAATAATAATGCAGGTATATTAGTGCATTGGATATGTCTAGATGACAAAAAGTTAAATAGTAAATTAAAGAAGAAGGTTCACTTTAAAGGTTAGAAAAAAACTTGTGGAACCTAGTTAAAATAAATTGAAGAGATGTGAGAAAGCACATTGTATTTCATCAACGTATACTGTTTATACTTTCAATTAGACTTTAGTGAAGATAAAGAGAAGCAGCAGAAATGATTCTTAAATTCTTGATTGTCATTTACTATTAAATATTATGAAGTATTGTTATATGTAATAAGGAAAATAAACAGAACTCTGCTTTGTTTTTCAGCTTTTGACAATGTTGATCACAAAAAAAGCTCCTTGTCCTTTTCCTGTAGAAGAAAGACTGTTAATGATATAGACTCCATTAGCCTAACAACTGATGATCTATTAAAACTTCCAGCAGATGGATCATTTTCTTTTGCTTATGTTGGATCAAATCATCGAATTAGCAAGAAAAAGAAGAAATGCATTGGAAAACTGAGTTCATCGGATACTGAAAAGAATAAAAATTTTCAGGAACCCTCTGCTCTCCTGTGCAAGAATAACTTAGTTACTCCTGTTCTATACACAAATATAAATGGAAAGCAATGTGGTAGGCTAAAAAACCCAAAACTTGTGAAGAAGACTAATAAATGCGCTTCTGAACCATCTTTACTTTTTTCTAAGAAATTGTCTTTTGAGGACAGTTCAGAACACAATCTTGAAAAAAATTACCCAAGATGGCTCACTAGCCAGAAATCTGATCTTAATGTTTCAGGGATAACTAGTATACCTGATTTCACCTACCCGGTATGGCTCCACCATCAAGACTTACTACCTGATACAAATAGTCAAAGGATATATGAAATATTTAAAGAAGATCAGTGTTCCCCTAGACATAGTTACCAGGCACAAAGAACTTCTCGGCTTACAAATAAATTAGATTGTTTTGAATATTCTTTTGAGCCCTCAAACACTTCAGATTCCTTGAGGGATGACAAAGGATTAATTAACGGATGTAAATGTGATTCTCAATGTAGCCAGTGTCAATGTGAGAATCCAGTTCTCCCAGGACAAACCAAAAAGCCATTCAGTGGTAATTGCTTTGTTTTGTTTTTAAGAACCAAAGACAGTGCTGTAAATTTGACCTAATGTCTAGGAGCTTTTATGTTATTCTTTTGATGTAATGATCAGATCAGATGATAAATCTTTTGAGCACTTATTGGTCTTCATTTATGTAGCATTTTGTGCCTAGAAAATGTCTTTTCTCCTTTGAAATGTCATTAAAAAATTTTACTGTTACAGATGTGTGTATATTCTAAATTATCTGAATACTTATTTGTTGCCGATGAGATTTTGCTGTGCATTTATTTTTTTCTTGAATTAATTTAATCTTTTAAATTAGGTGACAAAATTGAATTGCTTATCCTGAAGGCCAAGAGAAATCTAGAGCATTGTGCTGATGAGTCACCGAAGTCCATGAAAAAGGATGATAGTCCTTGTTCATTAGATAAACTTGAAGCAGAAAGATCATGGGAAAATATCCCTGTTACTTTGTACGTAAGTTACAATGGAGAAACTTTTTAGTTTTCCAGCTTAAAAATGTCATGTGAACAGTTAATTTATTTTTAAAATAACTCCGTGATAATTAACAGTTGTTGTGACATGTTAATTCTATAGAACATTGCCTTTGTGTTTCTTTGAATTGCATTTTTCACATGTTACCACAAGATGGTGTAATGTTGCATAACCTTGGCACATTATACAACTTTTGTCTTCTTTACACGTTCCTTTTGTTGCACTGTAAAATACTGATTTATGTTTAATATTAAAAATCACAACCATAAACAACTATTTTGCAGATGGGGAAGTGCTATGAAATTCTTGTTGTTTTCCTTTTCCTTTTATATTTTTTCTCCCTCTATATTCTTTCCATTTATGGAATTACGCGATTACCCATTTTTTCCATTAACATTTTATTAGTTGTTATTTTCCTTAAACAGTGGTGCATGTTTTGTTATGGTCTATTGTGCATTTTTGTAGCTTCTAATGTTTTTATTTGTGTGCTTAACCTTGCTATGACAGTGTCTCAGAATAATTTAAACTGTTTACCTGGATACTTATGAATGTTAGTGTGGAGTAAGAATTGAGCTTAGGTAGGAAAGCTTTTTTTCCTTAGCAATATTACATCTGAACTCATAAGAAATGCATTCTTGGTAACCCTATATCCTGCCTTAGCTCTGATAAATTATTATCTTGTGTTGTCTAAACTTTCATTCTATTATACTCTGTTATAGACAGAGTCTTTTAATTCCAGTTTTCAATCACTTCTCAGTTGAACATATTTTTTTTTAATATAGACACTTACTGTAATCCTGGTTTGGAATCGAGCTCTGTTACTTTTTCTGTCTTTGCTGACACCTTGCACAAGTTGAACTGCTTTGTACAAGCTTTTCTTTTGCTTTGTACAAGACCTTATATAAGCTATTCTACTTGGGGTTGTTGTGTGGATTCGTTTGATTAGAAAATATATATAAGGTACATAGGACAATTTCTGACTTATGATAAGCTGTCTTGTAAATTGTTAATAGTGGTGATAATTATCCATAATATTTTTTCCCTCATTTAGCTTCCTTTCTCAATTGTTGGTTCAATAGTATCTTTATTTTTTAAAACTTGGGTTAATAATTAGCTCACTTAATTCTTTTTTATTTAAAAAAAATTTTTTTTAATGTTTTATGTATTTCTAGGAGAGAGAGAGACAGCGTGAGCAGGGGAGGGTCAGAGAGAGAGGGAGTGACAGACTCTGAAACAGGCTCCAGGCTCTGACCTGGCAGTCAGCACAGAGCCCGACGCGGGGCCTGAACCCATGAACCGCGAGATCATGACCCAAGTGAAAGTCGGATGCCTAACCGACTAAGCCACACAGGCGCCCCAGCTCACTTAATTCTTAAACTTAGTTTCTAATTTTCTTGTCAGTTGGTCTTGGTATTTGTAAAGTACCATAGCTATAATACTTTGCTTTCAATTGCAATCAACCAGAATGGCTGAGCAAATAGTACCAGAGGTGTTTAAGAGTAAAATTTTTGAATGCTTTTAGTGTATTACATAATTAGATAATATAATTTATGCTTATATAATTATTATAATTGTTGGTTTGGCCCAGTATCTTGCATATATTGACTTCCAGAAGATTGAATTCATTATGTAATTCAATTCATTACATAAAATGAATGATGGATTGTCAGAAGGAATAGACCTAACTTTAGTGTGATGTAGACAAATTACTGTCAATCTGTCATCAAAACAAAAATTGACTAGGAAGTAGTCAAGGTAGCATACAAAAAGGTAGAACACAAGCACAATCCGAAAATTGCTTTTTTGTCTGTTTAACATTTTTATAATGGAAAATTTCAAAGAAATACAAAAGAATAATATAATGAATCCCTGTGTACTCCATACCCATCTTCCGTAATTTAGTAAATGCTTTTTGATGGTAGTCAATGGATGCACAAACTCTTTTGGTAAAGAATTCAAGAGAAGACTACTTGGGGGTAGGAAAAAGCTCATAGTAAGTTATAAATCAAATGAGTCAATAATGAAATACTGCTAATTATTAAGAAAAAATTAGAATTGTGAATTTGTATGTTATGGAAAGATTCTTAGGTATCTGAGTAAGTACTTACTTGATTTAGAAACACATCTTAAAAAAAATTTTTTTTATGTTGTTTTAAAATTTATTTCTGAGAGAGAGAGAGAGCAGGGGAGGGTCAGCGAGAGAGAGACACACAGAATCTGAAGCAGGCTCCAGGCTCTGAGCTAGTTGTCAGCACAGAGCCCGAGAGAGAGAGAGAGAGAGAGAGAGAGAGAGAGAGAGAGAGCGCGAGCGAGCAGGGGAGGGTCAGCGAGAGAAGGAGACACAGAATCTGAAACAGGCTCCAGTCTCTGAGCTAGCTGTCAGCACAGAGCCCGACATGGGGCTCTAACCCATGAACTGTGAGATCATGAGCTGAGCCGAAGTCAGACACTTAACCGACTGAGCCACTCAGGCGCCCCACACATTTTATATTATGTATAAATAAGAAAGAGAATGACTTTGTTTATTCTCTGTGACTAATAGAATTTGTTTTGGGAAAATTCTGACTTTGGCTGGGGTTTTTCTATTATCCCCTGAAACACCAAGAAAGAAACTAATATTTATTGTGCCACGGACACAGAGCTAATTTATACAATACTTCTGTGAGATAAGTGGGACCGCATATGTAAAACTGAAGTTTAGATAGATAAATTACATAAAGTCATTTAGTGAGAGGAATTGGGGTTTCAACTCAGGAGTTTCAATTTCACAATTGATCGTTTTCCTACTGTGATCTGTCGTCGATGTTAATGCTAGTTCTGGAGAGCGAGTCCTGTTGCTTTGACACGGAAGAGCATGTAACTACCATCCCAGCAGAAACTCCTGTATTTGTGGGGGGTTTTATTACCATTGGGTAACTGTTTATTTGAAAAAATGTACTGCTTATTTCAAATAGATGAGCTTTTGGAGTATAGCCTATAGTTGAAGGCTTATTTGTTTGAGGACTAGTGTTTTGACTTCACAGTTTTTTCTTAAAGCTTTAAAGGAGAAGGACACCTGGGTGGCTTAGTTAGTTAAGCCTCTGACTTCGGGTCAGGTCATGATCTCACAGTTCAGGAGTTCGAGCCCCACGTTGGGCTGTGTGCTGACAGCTCAGAGCCTGGAGCCTGCTTTGGATTCTGTGTTTCCCTCTCATTCTGCCCCTCCCCTGCTTGTGCATGCACGTTTTCTCTGTCTCTCTCAAAAATAAATAACCTTAAAAATATATATATTTTTAAAAAAAGCTTTAAAGGAGAAACAAGGAAATAGGGAGGGTGAGATTCTAGTATCAGTTTCAGGAAATAGGGAATTACCAAGCAAAGTCAATATGAATTGTATTTGCAACAGCTGTTTCTTGGTGATTATTTGTATTTAAATGAGAACCATTCAATTGTAGACTAATTTTTATAAATTGGGAACTTAATTACTGTCTTGTATCCTTAAATCCTATGTAGCAAATCTCCTGTGCCTGTTAACTCTGATGATAGTCCTCAGCAGACTTCAAGGGCAAAGTGTACTAACGAGTTCCTCGATGATTTTTTAAATAATGATAATAAGGTGGGTGAAATTGAATTTTTTAACTTTTTAAAAGGATTTATGACTAATATACAGATTGTAATTTCTGAGTTATTGTTAAAAAACAAAAAATGATTCAAATACCCTCTTCTTCAACACATGCATAAAACCATCACTCCTAGAATTATGGGTAATTTTATTTTAGTATTTTAAGGTAGAGGGACCTGGTATTAAACTCTACAGAGAGCCTAAATTATGTTGGGTTTTTTTTTTTTTTTTTTTTTTTTGGACAGTGTATAAAGCATAGCATTATAAAGTATGTTGTATTTTCCCATAGGATGGTTGATTATTGAGAGTTGTGTTTCTAACTAAGAGAAAGTTATAATTCTCTATAATTAAAAATGTTTTTAATGTTTACTTTTGAGAGAAAGAGAGGGAGACATAGAATCTGAAGCAGGCTCTAGGCTCTGAGCTGTCAGCACAGAGCCTGATGTGGGGCTCGAACTCACGAGCTGTGAGATGATGACCTGAGCCGAAGTCAGATACTTAACCCACTGAGCCACCCAGGTGCCACTATTTTTCTTTAAAAAAATATTTTTTAATATCTATTTATTTTTGAGAGAGAAAGAGAGACAGAGCATGAGCGAGGGAGGGGCAGAGAGAGAGGGAGACACAGAATCCGAAGCAGGCTCCAGGCTCTGAGCTGTCAGCACAGAGCCTGATGTGGGGATCAAACCCACAAACTGTGAAATCATGACCTGAGCTTGATTGACTGAACCATCCAGGTGCCCCATAAATCTCCAATTTAAAATAGGAAAATTATTATCCAATTTTGCAAAATCAGCAAATGTGCATCTTGCAAGTAACCCCAAAATAAAGAATAATGTGTATGTATGCACATAAGAAATTACGTATAATTTGACATAGAAATATAGTCATGGATGTTAAATATTGAAATCATACTTTTGGAATCTTAAAATCTGGAACATTTGGGAAGTTGAACACTCAAAAATTAACTGAAAGTTTTAATAAAAATGAGTTCTTTCAGTAAAATTTACTAGAGAAATCAGAGGCTTTCAGAATGTTTGATCTTAGCACTTTGTTTAAGATACTGTAGCAGATGTTGGGTAAGTGAAGCTTAATTATTAGATATTTGTTTGACATATTTGACTACCAAGCACTTCTTTGGGAACTATATCCCCAGTAGCGAATGAGAGAGGAAATCCTTGTGTTGTGGATCTTTTATTCTACTTAGACAAACTAAACAAGTATATAGTATGTGATACATAAGGGAGTACTATAAGTGGTGAAGAAACGTTAGTTGGAATAGGAAAATATAGGTACAATTTTAGGCAGCGTAGTCAGGAATGACCCTATGTTGTGGTGGTACTTGAGCACAAATGTAAAATGAGTGAGTAAGGCAAGTATTCATGGGGAAATAACTTTATACCTAAAAGTAATAATACAGAAACCCTGAGGCAGAATCGTATTTGGCATGTTTAAGAAATAAGTCCAGTAGTGTAGCTCAATCAGAATGAACAAGGTAAGATGGAGAGATATAGAGGAATATAGATATAGAGGAACCAGATCATGTAGCATGTTTTAAGCGATGGAATGAAGATTTTTATGTTTTATATAAGTGAGATGAGAAGTCACTGGAGGGTTTTGAGTGGAGGAATGAAATGATCAGATCTACATGTTAAAATATAAAATGGTAGCTGTATGGAGCAAAGACTTAAAAGGAGCTGGTGAAGGAGCAGGGAACCTAGTTAGGAGACTTTTGCAGTCTTTCTGGATAGGATTGGCTCAGGTACCACTGTACATTGGTGGTAGTCAGAAATGGGTAGACTTGGCATATATTTTGAAGGTAGACCTAGTAGAATGGAGATAGAATTCAAGAGTGAATCTAAGTTGTTTGAGCCAAGCAGCTAAAAGATTGGGTGATGCCATTTACTTAGGTAAAGAGCACTGGTAGAGAAACAAATTTGTAGAAGTTATTTTAAGTTTGAGATGAATGAATGTTAAATACTAACTAGTGGTCACTTTTCCCCTGACAGTACACACACAGTCTCACTACCAGGGTGTTTTTGTTTTGCTTTTAATAATTTTAGATGCACACAAAATTCCTGTCACCATTCTTTCAGTTTCTCTAATGCTGTCATCTCACATACCATAGTATAGTGATCATGGAAAGGGAATTATCTAAACTATAGACCTTACTCTAAATTCACTAGTTTCTGTACCAATGTCCTGTTCCAGGATCCAACATTGCATTTATTTGTCATGTTTCCTTTTAAAATATTCTTAAAAACATTTTTTTTAATGTTTATTTTTGAGAGAGACCACGTGCAAGCAGGGGAGGGGCAGAGAGAGAGAGACACACACAGAATCTAAAGTAGGCTCCAGGCTCTGAGCTGTCAGCACAGAGCCTGACGTGGGGCTTGAACTCACCATGAGATTGTGACCTGAGCCGAAGTCAGATGCCTAACTGAGCCCCCCAGGCTCCCCAAATTGTCATGTTTCTGTAATGTACTTCAGTCTGTGACAGTTTCTCAGTCTTCCCGTGTCTGTCATGACCTTGACACTGGTGAAGAGTACTGGTTGGTTAGTTATTTTATAGACAGTTCCTCAGTTTGGGTTTGTGTTAAGTTTTCTTATGATCAGAATGAGGTTATGCATTTTGGCAAGAATGTAATAGAAATCATGCTATGCCCTTCTCAGTGCATCATTATCAGAGGGTTCATGTTATAGTGATACCGTTGATTTCCTATATGTGTATTAGTTGGGCTACTGTAATAAATTTGCCATAGACCTGGTGGCTTAAGCAACAGATATTTATTTCTGTAGGCTGAGAAGTCTAAGATCAAGGTGTCTGGTGAGGTCCTGGTTCCCAGTTTGTGGATGGCCATCTTCTCCATATAATCTCCCATGGCAGAGAAGAGGGAGGAAGCAAGCCCTCTTGTGTCTCTTGGATCAGGGTACTGATCCCATTCGTGATTCCTTGTGACCTAATTACTTCACAAAAGTCCTTTCTCCAAATACCATCACATTGGGATTGGACTTCAACATAAGAATCTTAGGGGAACACAAATACTTAGTCCATAGCAATATGTTAATAAAATAATATATTAATATATAAAATTAAGTTAATATTTGTGATGTTAACGTTGAACACTTGGTGTCTACTGGCTGTCATTTTAGTAGAATTATAGTTTCCCCTTGTAATTAATAAATATTTTAGGGGAGATATTTTGAGAGTGCACACATGCACATCTATATTTCCATATGTGTCATATTTTATATGTATGTATAAAATCGTGAGTTCATACTGATACTTTTCACTCCAGTCCTGTATGACTTGTTTTAGCCTTTTTCCTTATTTGTAAGGAATTTCTCCATTGGTAAGAATCCGGACTATTATTATCCGTAATCCCTTAACTATTTGTTCATTCTTAGCATACGTATAGTTTGAAAATTGCTAATCTATATTCCTGTGAGGAACATATTTACTAACTAGGTCACATTATTTATGTATAGTTCTTTTTATCTTTAGCCTTACAGTATCCAGCCAAAGTACTGCTTTCCAAAGTTACATTGGTTAATTATTTTCTTCCCAACCCTTCAGTGTGGTCATGTTGTTCAACTGTAATACTGTTAGGTTGTTCATTTTTTTTTTTTTTTAAATATTTTTATTTATTTCTAGGAGAGAGAGGGACAGCATGAGCAGGGGAGGGTCAGAGAGAGAGGGAGACACAGACTCTGAAATAGGCTCCAGGCTCTGAGCTGGCAGTCAGCACAGAGCCCGACGCGGGGCTCGAACCCACGAACTGCGAGATCATGACCCAAGCGAAAGTCGGACGCCCAACCGACTAAGCCACCCAGGCGCCCCTAGGTTGTTCATTTTTATTGTACATATTGGGTTTAAACCTCATTTGGTTTAGATTATTTGTTTTTTGAATATGTGAAACATTACTATAGTTCTGAGAGAGCTATACAAAAAGATATACTTGAAGATATTCACTATCAGGTTTTAATGACAAGTCTCAGGACAACTCTGTTAGACACTAACATTTATTAAATATTCACTAGTGAATTGCACAACTAGTTTATATAATCTGTTTCATAGTTTTCTTTTTGGAACTCTGTTCACTAGTTTGCAGGAAAAATCCACTCCAGGCTTTTGTAACCCTTATGGTTGGCATCAGAAAACTAGAAATTTTGTTGTCTTTCTAATGTTTATTTTTTTTAAGCCAGTGGCTGCATGCACATAATTTAGAGATAATGTCTCAGGTGCTGTCTGCAGGAGTCGGGAGTATAAGGCTAATTGAATCCTTAATCCTTGTTTATTTTTCTTTACTTTTATTATTTTTTTAAACATTTATTTTTGAGAGAGAGAGCACAAGTGAGTGTGAGCATGAGTGAGGGAGGGGTAGAGGAGGAGGAACAGAGGATCTGGAGCAGGCCCCAGGCTCCACATTGACAGCAGAGAGCCCAATTGCAGGGCTCTCAAACTTGTGTACCATGTGTTCATGACCTGAACCAAAGTCAGAGGCTTAACCAACTGAGCCATTCAGGTGCTCCTATTTTTCTTTATTTTTTAAACTTTAGTGAAATATGTGTAACATAATGTTTACTATTTTAACCATTTTTAAGTATACAGTTCTATGTAGTAAGTACCTTCACATTGTTGTGCAGCCATCACCACTGTCCACGTTTAGAATGTCTTCATCTTCCCCAACTGAAACTCTGTATTTATTAAATACTAACTCCCCATTCCTCTTTTGCCCCACCTCTGGCTTGCACCATTCTACTTTCTTTCTGTATGAATTTGACTACTCTAGGAACCTTGTGTGCTTTCTTAGTCAGCTGTGCTAACAAATACCATAGTGGCTTAAACAGTAGAAATTTATTTCTCGCAGTTCTGGAGTTTGGGGAATCTAAGATCACAGTTCTAGCTGGATCTAAGATCAAGGTTCTAGTTGATTCTGTTCCTGATGAAGGCTCTCTTCCTTGCTTGCAGGCAGCTGCTTTCTCACCGTGTCCATCCATGGCCTTTCCTCGAGTTCTTAGGTGTCTCTTATTAGAAGGATGACAATCCTGTGGTATCTGGGCCCTACCCGTATGAGACATTTAACCTTAATCCCTTACGGCCCTATCTCCAAATACAGCTGCATTTGAGGTTAGGGCTTCAAGAATTTTTGTTGGGAGGGGCACAATTTAGTCCATAGCATCATATAAGAAGAACCATACAATATCTGTCCTTTTGTGACTGGCTTATTTCACTTAACCTAATGTCTTCGAGGTTCATCCATGTTGTATCATGTGTCAAAATTTCCTTTCTTTCTTAGACTGAATAATACTTCATTATATGTACTATGTTTTGTTTACCCATTCATCTGTGATGGATACTTGGGTTGTTTCTACCCTTTGTGTATTGTGAATAAGGCTGCTGTAAATATAGGTGTGTAAATAATCTGTTTTGAGTCTGTACTTTTATTTATTCTAGATATATAACCAGAAGGGGATCTTAGGGTAATTCTGTGTTTAATTTTTTGAAGAATTGCCATAGTGTTTTCCACAGCATCTGTACTGTTTTACTTTTCTATATCCCATTTCTTATATTCTATTCATGTAACTGTGGAGAGTATGCTTAACTTTGAACCTCTTCACTAATGAGAGCCTATTTTTAATATTCTTGTGCTTGTCAACAACTTCCTCTAGACTTGAAGTTTAAATAGTATGTGAATTATATCATCTATACTGAAATATATTATGAGGCCTCTTTGTCATTATGTGGTAGTTACCAGGATACAGCAACTCATTTGAAAGATATAAAAATAATAGTTTGGTAAGAAGACTTTAAAAGAAGTTTTAAAAAATATCCCTTTTAGAGTCTCTTAAAAGAATCCTGATCATGTTACGTAGTACTGTTGCCTTCTTTGGATGCAGGTAGGATCAGTTGATAATTGAGGTTTGAGTGTTTTTTACATAGCAAGGAATGTGTGACCAATGACTAGGTGAAAAACTAGCATTTTCTGTGTGAAAACATTTAGAAGTATTTAGAGAATGCTGTATTTGAAATTCTGGTTCTTTAGCTAATAACCAGCTTTATTTACATACCTGAAAAAGAGCATGTTGGCCTACCTGAGCTCTGAGGACCTTTCATTTCTAAAAAATCTGTGATTTTTAAATCCATAAATGAAAGTATCGCAAATGTGAACATGTCCTGTTCATTTGAAAAGAGCAGGAACTAGAAAGGATGTGCCAAACTTTACGGTTGCCAGTTACCTGGCAACTGGGTAAGGGGAGGGGTTGGGTTACAATTTTGACTTTTCAAAACACATTATTGCCTTGTATTGTTTGAATTTTTGCATTTTATATTGGGGGGGGGAATACAAAATAAAACTTTTTTTCCTCCCTGAATTTGCTTGGTTAATCATTGATCTGTTTTAATGTCAGAGCTGTACCCTTTCTGGAGGGAAACATCATGGTCCTGTTGAAGCCCTGAAACAAATGTTGTTTAATCTTCAAGCAGTACAAGAAAGTTTTAATCAGAATAAAACAGCAGATCTGAAAGAAGAAATTAAGCAAGTAAGCACAGACTTGATTTATGAATTGAGATCTGTGAATGTGAATTAAGATCTGTGGGGATATATGATTCCTTCTCACAATTTTCTTTCAGTTTGACCTCTAGTTTTATGTTAATAAGCATGCTGCATAACACATATTCTAGAGTTGTAGTATTGTTATTCTTTTCAAAAAGTAACTTACTCAGATTTAGTACTATTACATTTCTGTAGCTGTGTACCCCTGAGTGGATTATTCTCTTTATTGTTATAAATACAGCATCTTATTTAGATATGACAGTGTTAGAGCTATAGTTATGGGAGGATTGTAGGAGTTGCTTTTTAATGCTCTACAAAATTATTTGTATAACCCAACTTTTTGTATTTATATTTGGAAATCCTTTTCAACCTTAGACTTCTCTTCATAAACTTTGTGTTCTGAAATTTTATTTTGTTACCATGTGTTTGGCTTTTCTTAGTTAATGTAAAATCTTATTTAAAAACCATTGTGTTTTTATGTATTTCCTAGGAATTTCAAAATCTCTTTATGGTTTGGGCTACTATTTTGTAAGCGTTGAATTTTCTTCACAGTAGTACAGTGTTTACATAGAGTTTATGTTCTCACAAGTCTGATTGGTTTTTAATTTAATTTTTGATTTTTTTTATTTTTGAGAGAGAGACAGAGACAGCATGAACAGGGGAGGGTCAGAGATAGAGGGAGACATGGAATCTGAAGCAGGCTTTAGGCTCTGAGCTCAGCACAGAGCCTGACGTGGGGCTTGAACCCACAAACCATGAAATCATGACCTGAGCTGAAGTCGGACGCTCAACCGACTGAACCACCCAGGTGCCCCTCACAAGTCTGATTGTTAATTCTAATTCTGCCACTTAACTAGCAAGTGCAATATTTGTACAAATCTCTTAACCTCTTTAGTTTCATTTTCTTCTGTAAAATGTGGTTGTTGAAAAGGTAAATTGAGACCAACTATGTGAAGTACTTATATAGAGCTTGACACCTGATTAAAACTTAATAGCTGGTAAATACTTAATAAATATTTTGTCATTGTTTTGTTCTTATTCACTAGAGCTTTATGAAATTCAGTTTAAATGATAAATGAATGGATCAGCTCTTAGAAACTGTCAAGTCTGAATTGTATTTCTCTATTTTTTCTATACTTAATGATTAGTACGTTAACATATAGTGTATAATGTATCCTTTATCCCCCTCCTGTTCTAGATATCACTGAGATGTAACCTTGTTCATTACAGTTATAATTTCAAGCCAAGGTTTTATTGTTATTGGACATACGTTTAGAAGCACACTTGAAAGATGAATAAGTAGTAGTTTTATTTTTAGAATAAAGAAAATATTTAATGCTTTACTTAAAATTATTTGCTAGATTTATTTCCTTGGAAATGCAGACAGTTTTTTAATGTTCTTATTTTTCACATACTAAGTAGTACTTAAGTTTATAGTTATATATTTTCAATATTATATTTGGTGTTTTTAATAGGTTTCAGAAGACAATTTCTCTCAATTACAATTGAAGGAAAGTATGGTTCCTATTACTAGGTCTCTTCAAAAGTAAGTATTCTCTACTAATTTCTGAAGATGTTATGGATACAAATCCATTTTAGCCTTCTCTTTGAAAGCAGAAGATTATAGGAGAAATTAAGTAGTTCTAAGAATAGATAGACTTGATATTTTAAAAAATATTTATTTTTAATTTGCATCCAAGTTAGCATGTATTGCAATAATGATTATAGGAGTAGAATCCAGTGATTCATCCCCTACATATAACACCCATTGCTTATCCCAAGTGTCTTCCCTAGTGCCCATCACCTATTTAGCCCATCCCCCCTTCCACAACCCCTCCAGTAACCCTCTGTTCTCCATATTTAAGAATCTTATGTTTTGTCCCCCTCCTTGTTTTTGTATTATTTTTGCTTCCCTCCCCTTATGTTCATCTGTTTTGTATCTTAAATTCCACATATGAGTGAAGTCATATGATATTTGTCTTTTCTCTGACTAATTTTGCTTAGCATAATACCCTCTAGTTCCATCCATGTTGTTGCAGATGGCAAGATTTGCCAAAAAGATTGCCGAGTAATAGTCCATTGTGTATATATACCACATCTTTATCCATTCATCTGTTGATGGACATTAGGACTCTTTCCATACTTTGGCTATTGTTGATAGTGCTGCTATAAATATTGGGGTGCATGTGCCTCTTTGAAACAGCACACCTGTATCCTTTGGATAAATACATATTAATGTAATTGCTGGGTCGTAGGGTAGTTCTACCTTAAATATTTTGAGGAACCTCCATACTGTTTTCCAGAGTGGCTGCACCAAAGTTTGCTTTCCTACCAGCAGTGCAAAAGGGTTCCTCTTTCTCTGCATCTTCGCCAACATCTGTTGTTGGCTGAGTTGTTAATTTTTAGCTGTTCTGACTGGTGTGAGGTGGTAACTCATTGTGGTTTTGATTTGTATTTCCCTGACAATGAGTGATGGTGAGCACTTTTCCATGTCTATTCATGTCTTTTGCCCATTTCTTCACTGGATTATTTTTTTGGGGGGTGTAGAGTTTGATAAGTTCTTTATAGATTTTGGATAGTAACCCTTTTTCTGATATGGCATTTGCAAATATCTTCTCCCATTCTGTTGGTTGCCTTTTAGTTTTGCTGATTGTTTCATTTACCGTGCAGGAGCTTTTTATCTTGATGAGGTCCCAGTGGTTCATTTTTGCTTTTGTTCTCCTTGCCTCCTGAGACATGTTGAGTAAGAAGTTGCTGCACCTAAGGTCACAGAGGATTTTGCCAGCTTTCTCCTCGAGGATTTTGATGCTTCCTGTCTGTTTAGGTCTTTCATCCATTTTGAGTTTATTTTTTGTGTATGGTGTAAGAAAGTGGTCCAGGTTCAGTCTCCTACACTTTGCTGTCCGGTTTTCCCAACACCATTTGCTGAAGAGACTGTCTTTATCCCATGGGATATTCTTTCCTGCTTTGTCAAAGATTAGGTAACCATACATTTGAGGGTCCATTTCTGGGTTCTCTATTCTGTTCCACTGATCGGAGTGTCTGTTTTTGGCTAGTACCATACTGTCTTGATAATTACAGCTTTGTAATACAGCTTGAAGTCCAGAATTCTGACGCCTCTAGCTTTGGTTTTCTTTTTCAGGATTGCTTTGGCTTTTGGGGTCTTTTCTGGTTCCATACAAATTTTAGGATTGTTCTAGCTCTGTGAAGAATACTAGTGTTATTTTGATAGGGATTGCATTGAATATGTAGATTGCTTTGGGTAGTATCGATATTTTAACAGTATTTGTTCTTCCAATCCATGAGCATGGAGTGTTTTTCCTTTCTCTTTCTGTGTGTGTGTGTGTGTGTGTGTGTGTGTGTGGTCTTCAGTTTCTTTCATAAGCATTCTATAGTTTTCAGTGTATAGATTTTTCATTTCTTTGGTTAGGTTTATTCCTAGTATTTTATGGTTTTTGGTGCAATTATAAATGGGATCGATTCCTTGATTTCTTTTTCTGCTGCTTCATTATTGGTATATGGAAATGCAAGCAATTTCTGTGCATTGATTTTATATCCAGTGATTTTGCTGAGTCAATGTATCAGTTCTAGTAGTGTTTTGGTGGAATCTTTTGGGTTTTTCATATAAAGTATCATGTCGTCTGCAAAGAATGAAAATTTGATTTCCTCCTTGCTGATTTGGGTGCCTTTTATTTCTTTGTGCTGTCTGATTGCTGAGGCTAGGACTTCTGATACTATGTTGAGTAACAGTGGCGAAAGCGGACATCCCTTTCGTGTTCCTGACTTTAGGGGGAAAGCTCTCAGTTTTTCCCCATTGAGGATAATATTATTAGCGTTGGGTCTTTCGTATATGGCTTGTATGATCTTGAGGTATGATCTTTCTATCTCTAACTTTCTTGAGGGTTTTTATCAAGAAAGGATGTTGTATTTTATCAAATGCTTTCTCTGCATCTATTGAGAAGATTGTGTGGTTCTTGTCCTTTCTTTTATTAATGTGATGTATCACATTGATTGATGTGCAGATATTGAACCAGCCCTGCATCCCAGGTATAAATCCTACTTGGTCGTGGTGAATGATTCTTTTAATGTACTGTTGGATGAAGTTGGCTCATATCTTGTTGAGAATTTTTGCATCCTATACTTGATATTTTTAAGCTTCATGGAATATATTATTTAATCCTGAACTTTTCTCTTAAACTTGTGCTATTTCCTATTAATATGTTATTAAGACCTAATGAGATAATCTTAGTCACCTAAATATAACTGATATGAGTGGCTTAGATTTTCTTTTCATTTGAGTAATAGCAATAATTTGACATAGTTGGTATGGATATCCTGGAAGAACAATTTGTTTATAAAATGTGTTTTTATGTATTTCCTCTAGAATAAATATAATAATGATAAATGTGTCATTATTTGACATATCTCTACAGAAACCTAAAGTGGGCATAATGTCCTGGATATAAAGATAGGTCTAAATGTCTTAAGTATGTTAATCTGTTTTCTTAGTTACATTATCTTAGCAAAAATGTGGAGATAGATACAAATCTTTCCTATGGTCATGGTATTGGCAGAGGAAACGGTATTTATTTATGGATTTGGTTGTGTGAATATGAAGCGCCCTCAGAAAGTGGAATACTGAACTTTAGGAAATGCTAAGATTGAAATTTTTTACTTTAGTAATTCCATTTCACTTGGCAAGAAGTGGGCCTATACAAATCTTGTCTACTTTGTCCTTTCAGAATGTGGTTAGAATTCAGTTATCTAAGGAAGTAGTGGAAAAGTGAAACACTAGACATGTAAACTTATGACTCTAGTTGTGATATTTATGTGTACGTATGTGTATACACACACACTTTTTAAAAAATTTCCATAGTTTAAAAATATATGTATGTATGACTTTTTCCCCTCGACTTTGTAATTTATAATTTTCTGGATGGAAATAATGCCTTACTTTATAGCTTGCCATAGTATTTGGGTATAGTGTTCCTATCTAGTAGGAGTCGGTGAATAATGATAATAACTAACATTTATTGAACACTTACCAGGTATCAGTGTTCTTAGTGCTTTTGAGTAATTCATGTGATCTTTACAACCCTATGAGGTTAAGTACTATTATTATTTTCATAATTCAGATCAGATAATAAAGATCAAGTAATTAATTTGGCCCAAGGCTACATAGCTAGTAAGAAGTAGCACTGGGATTCAAATCGGATGGTCTGATTCTACAGCCTATGTTCTTAACACTCCTCTTATTAATGATAGTGGTACATTATCCATGCAGATTAGTGTAGGGCCTCAGTTGATTATTTAGGATAAAGACCTCATTCTGCTTTAAAATTTAAAATAAAACGACCTCAAGATTTCCATGTTTCTTAAAAGCATTTATGTTGAACTTGTGTCATAGACTTAAATGTGTTTCCAAAGTACATATCCTGGAAGATGCTTTTTCTTGGTGAAAATAAACACTGGGCCATAAGTAATTAAACGACCACAAAAATTGATATTGATTGTAGGCACTTTTACCATTAGCTGAGAATATTTTTTAACTTTTTTTTTTTTACATTTATTTATTTTTGAGAGAGAGAGAGACAGAGCACAAGTGGGGGGTGGGGCAGAGAGAGAAGGAGACACAGAATCTGAAGTAGGCTCCAGGCTCCAAGCTGTCAGCACAGAGCCTGATGCGGGGCTCAAACTCACAAGCCCTGAGATCATGACCTGAGCCAAAGTCTGATGCTTAACTGACTGAGCCACCCAAGTGCCTGAATTTTTTTCTTTAATAGTAGTAACTTTTTTTCTGGCTTAGACGATCAGTAATCTTGCCTACATATAAAATGCCATTTTCAAAGAGTAAGATTCATGTTTGTTAGATGGCTGTTAGCTGTTGCTTCTGTTGGATTAGCTGGTGCAATCTTAATTTGGCTTTTACTTTACATTTCAAAATTACTATCAGTAAGGTACTTGTACTGATATGAAAGTAAGTGTAAACTTTTAAAAGTATGTTAGTACATGTTTTCTTTAGTTTTAGTCTGTAGATTATTTTAAGGACAATTTGAAATTCAGATTGTTCTGGTTAGATTTATGGACATCTTTTCATATTTTAAAATAAATAGACTCCGCTTTTTCAGAAGTTGCAGATTGTACCTTGGATACTTTGATGACCTTTTCTAGCATGAAAGTCCTATTAATGTCTCTCCCTTTCCCTCAAATAGGAGTTCTTGTTTTTAACAGTTTGATTGCTAACAGTTTTAAAATGTTTTTCATTAGGCTGAAGAAACAGTAAGCTCTTACTATGGGTTCCGTTTACTCTGTGGGATGCTCGGTTTTCTTATGTTCTTTCTTTAGAAATAATTGCTTTCTAGGAAGACTCATTGGACCTGAAGTAGAGTAGAGACTGAGTAGCTTAAGATGTTATTTTTTTCAGAGGGATATTTCTTGTAATAGAAATCTAAATTGTAATTGTTTTGTATCTTTATAATTCTAAGCTTTGTCTTATACATTCACATATTAGGATGTTGATAAAAACTTATTAACTGAAATCTCTGTGTGAGAAATTTGTCATCTTTAAGCAAATGAAAAAATTGTAGTTTTTGAGCAGGGGCCTTTTCTAGAACCTTGTATGTCATTTAAGCCACCAGCTACTCTGTCTAGGCTGGCTGTGAAGAATGAGCAATAATTACAGTGCTCATACACTATAAAGGTGAGCAGTTGGAGACTATTGCAGAATTATCCGTCATCCAAAAATAATTTGTATTGGTTTTGGAGTATGTTGTTTTATATACAATTTGGAAATGAATGTGTAAGATTTTGTAGTTTTCAGTACTAAAGGCCATGCCATGAAGATTTAGTGATAGCTAGAAAGTTGTCCTGTTTCTCACTTCTCTTTTCCTGCTCAATTTTCTGGTCTTCATTCTATACTAGAGATAGACAGAATTACCTCTCAGATTTGTAAAACATGATCCTGGAGGAATAATTTTTCTTTATACTAATGTACTCTACTAAGATCTAGAGAGTGGTAGGCAGTTTGTTTAGTTGTTGCTGGATATGAGGCTGAAACATAATACCCAAGAGCACCCAGTATAGCAGTACTAATAGAGGCAAGTACTACCAGAGGCAAGATATCACTGAGTAAATTAAAATACAGTTTAATTACTTTAATATAATCAGTCTGTTATTGAGTTTCTGTGGGTTCATTGATAGATACATTCTCATAATAAGACAGAAGGTTTTTTTTTTTTAATTTTTAAAAATTTATTTCTGAGAGAGAGCGCGAGCATGAACAGGGGAGGGTCAGAGAGAGAGAGGGAGACACAGAATCTGAAACAGGCTCCAGGCTCTGAGCTAGCTGTCAGCACAGAATCCGATGTGGGGCTCGAACCCACAAACTGTGAGATCATGACCTGAGCCGATGTCGGATGCTTAACCGACAGAGCCACCCAAGGCCCTGTGACAGGAGTTTTTTAAATTTCAGTTTTTAAGATGAATGACTATTTGGTATTTTAACGTAACTCTCAAACTGATATTTTTTTCATTAGCTTGCTTTCTCACTTTTTTAGAAAAGAAACTCAAGAATAATTTCCTTCTATTATTTTATCCTGTGCTTCTCCCTACACATACCTTTGAAATAGCAAATCACTTTTGGTGGCCTCTTCTCTAAGTAGATTGATTGGCTTGTTCTTAGCAGGGCAGATAGAGGTTGAATGAACGGAAATGAAAGCTGATTGTGTAGCTGAGGAAGGGGGACTGAAGAGTTCACATTACTGCTTAGCTTTTTCATTCATCCTCATCATACCACACCCCTCCCTTCCCTTCCCATCCTTCTTCTTTCTCCCTAACATTTGCTTTAAAGACCTAAAATAGGACTAGAACGGAAACCAGTTATATTGAGTTATGGTTATGAAAATATTTGAATAAATTTCTAATTGGCAGCATGTGCTTCTTTGTTGATACATTTAAAGAAGACATTTAAAATATAGGTAAGTTAAAAATAATTTTGTAAAATGGCTTTGTGCATAACTTGTGTGAAAGCAGTATACCATAATGTGGTCTTTTCCCTAACCTTCACATGTTGATCAGGAAACCGAGAAAGGGAATATTGGAAAGCGTCAGTGGGTCACCAGTGAGGTGTCACTGTTTGGTGGATGAACAACAAGGCTCAAAGTTGTCTAATAGTTGGCCAGTTATGTCATATGAACTTTGGGATTGTAGACAGAAGGGCTTCATTATATGTGTTCTAGCAATGAGTTTAATAACTTATGTAATTTTGTAATTATTACATAGCTATTGTAATTTCAAAGTAGTGTGAATATAAAAGAAATTTTTAGATACCTTCAATGACTGTAATGTGATAGAAAAGATCTCTGATTTCTATGGCATATGCGGTCACAGAGTTGGCTCTGTTGCTCGCATTCATAATGGAAGGAAATGCTAACTTACAGATAGTATTTAGTGAAAATAAAGGTGAGAATATTTTCCCCCCATTCAGCTTTGTAGATGCTGTAAATGCAAGGGATCTGTGGCCTCAGAGTTGTAAACAAATTCTAGCCACTTGTCTCTCCCTCCCTCTTTGTCCCTTCCTCTCTTTCTATCCTCTTCTCTCCCTCTCTCCCTCCCTCCTTTCCTTGCTCTCTTTCTAACCTCCTTCCCTTCCTCTCTTTCTTCTTTCCTTACTATTTTAGTTTTTTTTTTTTTTTAATGTTTTATTTATTTCTGAGAGAGAGAGAGACAGTGTGAGTAGGGAAGAGTCAGAGAGGGAGACACAGAATCTAAAACAGGCTCCAGGCTCTGAGCTGGCTGTCAGCACAGAGCCCCAAGTGGGGCTCGAACCCATGAACCATGAGATCATGACCTGAGCCGAAGTCAGATGCTTAACTGACTGAGCCACCCAGGAGCCCCATTCCTTCCTATTTTACTTTTAAGCAATCTCTGCACCCAGTGCAGATCTTGAACTCACAATCCCGAGATCAGGAGTCACAGGCTCCACCAACTAAGCCAGCCGGGTGCCCCTCTTTCTTTTGAATCATATGTTGTTAAATAATAAGCCTGACAAGAAAAAGGTAGATCTAAGTCAAAAACTTACAGATTATCATCTTTCTCATAAATGTGTTTCTAGGAAGAAAATAATTTTTTAGGTAAAGAGATTTTACTATAGGATGTAGAAATGATAGAATCTAGTTAATTTTACCTCTGATTGCATAGTAACTTTGGGGGAGTTTTTGTCCTTTAGTTGATGAAGATAAGAACCTTAAAAATTAACTGAAGTTGCCAAAAGGGTGGCAAAATCCAGATTCTTAATACATTTCAGTAAAAGTGTCCAAGAAGCAGAGTACAGGGAAATAGATATAATGTAATTAACAGTACTAGATTCTTCCATCTTCTTATCGTGGGTAAAGTGGAAGGTGTATTTTACGTAATACACATTGACTGAACCTGTGTTAGAGACTGTAGAGCAGAGTATTATAGTCACCACCTTTCAGCTCACCTTAGAAATAGTAATTTCTGTTAGTAAACACACTAGTACACATCATAATTGTTATATTGTTTTCTTGGTCCCTTATTAATAAGAGATCTGAAATATGGTTGATTGACATGAGTGGGACATAAGGTTCTGAATGAATAATAGGGAGGAAGAACTGGAAGAATATTTTTAGAGGAAGACTAGAAAGTTCAGGGCTTCTCTTTTCTTGGTTTGTTTAGGAGTGATTAAATTTTAGCTTTGTTTTAGAGAAAACAAAAAAATCAGGTTGCTGATATAATACCACATAGTTGTCATTTGTTTCCCCCCATGTTCAATAAAAATGAGTTTTCTTCAACTGTGACTGATTTTTCAGAGCTTTTTAAAAACTTTTTAGCTATCTTAAATGTACATCTTAATGAATATAGTTTCTTAAATAAGATACACCATATTCCAAAAGAAAAGGTGTAATTTCAGTTACTGTGAAAATGACATGAAAAAATTGTCTTGTTAAGTATGATACAAATAAACCTATTATTAAAGTTCTTGGCAGACTTTCAAAAAAAGTCTTGAATGTCAAAAAAATACATTTTTAAAATAAATGTTTATAGAATTTAAATGAATTATTTTAGCCTTCAGTTACTCAGATCTCAAGATTTTATAAAGAAAAATTCTAAATGTTTGATATTTATTTTATAAATTCATTTCTCATACTAATTTTGAAGTTAATAAACAATGTAATCACCATTTGTTGCTGTCTGCATTGTATGTTCAGTCTTTAATACTGGTTTATAATGTGTTTTATACTTTTTAATGAAGGGCTTTGCACCATTTATCTCGCCTGAGAGACCTGGTTGATGATACCAGTGGGAAACAGTCACCGAAAATGTGAAGAGGAAAATAAAACATTCCAACCAATAAATAGTCACCACAGAACAAAAATGTATTTTTTCCTATTGTTTAAAGTGACAAAGAAATTATAAGTCATACATTATTCTGTGTTTGGTTCAAGTATTATGTTTTTTTTTTTTTTAAACAAACTTGAAAATGTGCATAGATTTTGTGACCTATTCTCATTTTATGCCAAAATGCCAGAATGAACTTGAAGGATCCACGCTGTGTCCTACAGTCTGATTTTGGTTTTCAGGCCAGCAAATGTCCTCTATTCAAAGATTTCTGTTCTTGAAACTTACATGGACTTAATCTTACTGAGCATCCTCATCATTTTATCATCGGTTTCTGGATTATTAAGAAACTCTTCTTGGTTTCTATCCAAAATCACTTAAGTAGACTTTTTGATAAAATCAACGTCTACTTTTAAGTAGCTTAAAGTGGGGGGCGCCTGGGTGGCTCAGTTGGTTTAAGCGTCCGAACTTCAGCTCAGGTCATGATCTCACAGTTTGTGGGTTTGAGCCGTGCTTTGGGCTCTCTGCTGACAGCTAGCTCAGAGCCTGGAGCCTGTTTCAGATTCTGTATCTCCTTCTCTGACCCTCCCCTACTCATGCTCTCTCTCCCAGAAATAAATAAAAACATTAAAAAAAATTAAGTAGCTTAAAGGAATATGAAAGTCATTATGGTGAATCTTATACATATAGAAGTATGTTACTTTTAATTTTCATAAGTATTTAAGATATGTTCTATTTGCAAATAACATTAATTTAGTAATGGGGTGATGCACTGCTAAAAGGAATGTTGTTTTATGTTGTGAAATCAAAGAGAAAACCTCTTAATTGTTTTGATTTTGATTCTGTGTAAGATGATCTTGACAGTTTACAAAGCATTTTGGTGTTGTATATTTGAGAATTTAATATTTTGATACTAGATTATTTCTCCGACTTTAGTTTTGGGGTTACCTCAAACTAATAAAAGCTGTGAGATCAGTGACTAATTACTTTATGCAGTTTGATAAGTAAACTTAAAAAGAATATGGAAAATTCAAAAGCAACTCTGTATTATAAAGCTGTTTTGTAAGAACTGAACTTTCTTTAAAGCAATATGTAGTCTAAAGTCTGTCTCTAGCTGGGACTGAACTGAGCTCTGCAATTTTGCATTTTCTACCAAGTAAATTTCTTTTTTTTTTTTTTTAATTTTTTTTTTTTTTTTTTAGGGTTTTTATTTATTTCTAGGAGAGAGAGAGAGAGACAGCGTGAGCAAGGGAGGGTCAGAGAGAGAGGGAGTCACAGACTGAAACAGGCTCCAGGCTCTGAGCTGGCAGTCAGCACAGAGCCCGACGCGGGGCCCGAACCCACGAACCGCGAGATCATGACCTAAGCGAAAGTCGGACACTTAACCGACTAAGCCACCCAGGCGCCCCTCTACCAAGTAAATTTCTAATAAGCAAGGAAACATCCTTACCAACAACACTAGGAATTAAGTCATAAAGCATGTTTTAAAAGCCTGATGAAAGAAGGTCTACATGTTTATACAAAAAGTACAAATTAACATGCCCAGATTGTAACATCTTTGTTAGGTAGCTTTACATCAAATAGGAATTTCTAAGTACATTGTGTTAAAGAATTTTTCCCCCCCAAATTTATAGACCTTTGCTATAGAGCTTACACATCAAAGACTATAGAATGAAGGCTGTCACTTTTTTCTCAACCAGGGAGTCGCCACCATGCAGTTGTTTTGCCCAGTTTGAGAGTCACTTGCCATTAAGTTTGTTTTGTTTAGTCTGTGGAGGTATTTCCACACCAACATTCTATTTTCTGATTATGATCTTCTGTTTCAAAACAAACAGTTTGCATACAGTCAAACAAGGCATTACTTTGATGAAAGTATGACTGGATGTTAAAAATGCAGATTTTTAAGTGGATGAATATGAAGTGGATCTGGGATGATCATGTTCCAGGCTTAGCCAAATCTTCTGTTAGACAGTCTAATGAAGGCAGAGGAGATGAATATATATCATCAATAATTAACTTCTAATCGCATATATGTTCATCAGACCTAGTATTTAGTATTTGCCTAAAAAGCATTTCCAAAGAGATTCTGCTATAATGACTGAATAGCACTGATTTGATTAATGCTGCCATTTGTAAGAAAATAGCTTCAATGCTAAATAAGAGAAGCCTTCTAAATTTTTATAACTAATATTTTAATAAACTTGATTATACTTACTAAAGGAATATTTTCCTTTGTGTTAAATGTGTAAGCTTAGTCATTTGAACCAAAAAAATAAATTAACTTTTTTAAAGTGGTTAATTCCACTTTTATTAAAAAACAAAATGTTTAGGAGAGTCAACTAAAAAATCTAAATGATAAATGTTCATGAAATTCGCTAAAGAACTGATTCAATTACATGTTAAAAATTTCAGTATTCTTTGAGTTTTCCAGGGGTGAAAGGAAAGCAACAGTATTGAGACTGCTGAATTGGGAATTTAAAGAAGATAATGAGAACAATTAAAGGTTTTAAAAGTTGCAGTGAGAATATAAATTTTTATCAACCCCTTTTAGGCATATTTAAAAGTGTTAGATAGAAAAAGATTTTATTTTATTTTTTGTTGTTGTTGTATTTATAGTTTATTTCAAAGACCTGATGTGGTCCCCATGTTTCTGTGACATTTTTTCTGTTTACAGGCTACGAAATAGTGTTTTCATTTTTTTTTAAGAAAAAGATTTTAATAAGACATTTCAGATTTTTAGTTGAGTATGAAAAAAATTTAACCTAATTCCAAAACTTTTTTGAGATCAAGGGATAAAGGTGCAATGAGTATATGAAGACTCAAAACTCAACTGTATTTTCTTTAATGTCAGTAGGAACTTTACTGTCACTGTTTTCTGTGTTAGCACATTGCTGTGTCGTAGAGATTTCTGACCAAATTGAGGAACACTGTTGTGGGTTCGTTTGTTTGGATTATATGTCTATGTTATTTCTTGTTGAGATTTATAAATGTGGATTTTTTTGATATTTAAAGGTTAAGCTAATATCTCGTTAACTTCTATACATTTATACCAAAATGTTTTTTGAAGATAAATCATGGTAAGATTCTTCCCCTCCCCACGAGCTGAATATGTGGAATCGCTCATAGATTTGAATTTTTGTTTTGTCTTTCCTTTTCCAACGTGTACTGTGTGTCAAAATCTATTTGGTGAAAGTGCTATCGAGAAGTGAACTTGCCAAACTGCAAATACGGTGAAAAGAGACAAAAGAAGCAAAAGGCCAATAAAATTGATGATTTCTGAACAATTGAAGTTTTTCGAAATGTGAATGACTGTATCATTCTGTTCCATGTACCAATTAGATGTTTTATGCATGGTTATATGTTGTGTTAGACTGTAGTGTCTATCGTGTAAGGATTGGTGTAACCTAGGCCTGAATATGTGAACGAACGCATATTCAGGTTATATTGTTAGATTTTTTTTTCCCATGACATTTGAAATTATTCCCTTTCTGTTTCCTGGTTTTCTTTCTTCTTTATATTCATCTGTGGCTAAGATCATTTTCCTTTTTTAAACAAAAATATCTTAGCTTTTTACCCTCCTACTTTGTTCTGCAGTTTGTTCTAGACCAGACTTCTATAACAGCTTTTCTCACAATGTAGCTACTTTTCTAACACTGTAACAAATGTATCTGTCCATTCTTCATTATCTTAACTAAGAGGGGTCCATTTGCCTAATGCTTTTTTTTTTCCCAATTTTTAAAAATACTCATTTTTTGAGAGAGAGAACGAGTGGGGTAGGGGCAGAAATAGGGAAAGACCAAATCTGAAGCAAGCTCCAGGCTCTGAAGCAGCTCAGGATCTGAGGAGATCCTGACCTGAGCTGAGGTTGGATGCTTCACTGATGGAGCCACTCAGGCAGCCTTGCCTAATACCTATTTCAACCTTTTAACATTCCTTTCCTCCCTTTCAGCACTTGCATCGAGTAGTGACTGACTGGTCTGCAAGACACTATTGTAACACCACCATATAACATTCCTAATCTACTTCAGAAATTTGCTGTACATTGCTTTACGTATTATCCCAACTTTCTACAGATTCTCACCTTTGTGTGTATTATCTCCCACACTTGAAACACTTCGTTTTCTTTCATTCTGGTTATGTAAAGCTTACTCTACCATTTCTTTAAAGCTCCGACTGAATGTTGTATTTTCTTTTCCAAATATTCTAACATTCTTCCAGACTGGCTAGGTTGGCTTTCCGCTTTCCTCGCCCATCATTCATTTAGCTATTATGATTCTTGTTTTTGTTTTAAATAGTGTCTCTTAATCACATTGTATTCCTAGGGGAGAAAAATGTCTCAAAAGTTAGAGGATTAATTTTTATCTCCTTGATAGTACCTCTTACACTACAGTGTATAACCAGGAACATGTAAACTTAAAGCCGTGATTAATAATTTTAAGTGTAGTTCTCCCTATAAGATCGTAGGCTCAGAAAAGGACAGATCATATTTTTTTAATTTATGTGATATCCTGCAAATCCTTCAAATGAAGTAAGTCAAGTCTATTTTTTGATGTTGCTGATGCTGTTTATCAAATAGGATCAACATTTGTGTACTTTAGATGACATCTGTAAGGCTTCTAACCTCTTGAGCTCTCAAAGCTAAGATTTTTTAGTTTTTATATATTTTGCATTTCATCAAATATACAAATTATTTTACAGATCTAGGATTGTGTCTAGGAAAACTTTCAGTGGTTGGTTTTCATTGTGTTGCTTTGAGCTTGGCTTGATGGGAAACTATCATTCTGGGTCCAATCTAGAAACAAAAGCCACATAGTGATTTTAACAAGGGATGTTTATTATGAAAAAAGTTTTAAACTGTGACAAATGAAATAAGATATGAGAATTCTGTATGGTACCCCAGAGCTGAGGGGGAGTAGCCAAGGAAAAGGTACTTGGGTTATCTTCCCTTGGGTATGCATTAGACGTAGGGGCTTAAGATTTGGGTTCAGATCTCACTGAAGAAGGGGTAGCTGTGGCCCACTGGATGGCAGAGAAGTTTACTAGTTTGTCCAGACCAGAGTTGATCTTCAGTCACTAGGCAAATAGGAAGTCACCCTTCAAGGTTCAGGAAAACTGTAGCTAGTTACTGGGTGTGTGGGCACACAGGAAGGGGTATCAGTGTTGGCAGGATACCTGGAACATGACGTGTTTGTGTTGAAAGGGTTGAAGGAAGGGGATTACCAGCCTGGTCCAGGTCTGTGAGTGCCAAGAAGAACCATACATTCTAGGATTGTGACTGGGGAAAGAGTATCACCGGATGTTTTCATACCCACCTGGTTTGCTGATGGTGCAGCTGTCAGAGAGCAGTGGTAGGGCCCCTTCAGGGTGAATTTGAAACCCAGAGACTGTAAATTGATAGATTTTAGAAATTTAGATTTTAGATTTTGGTGGGAGAGATCACGTATGGAAAATACAAAATGCCTCACCTGTCTACCC